GCCCCCCCCCCCCCCGAAAATCTGTGCCTGATTTGTACGCAGAAATTTTTGTACGCAGAAAAGTACGATTGTGTACACTTCCTACAACAGAGCTGAACCGTTACTCCTTTCTGTTTGCCTTAAAATCCTTCAGACAATGAACAAACATTTGCCTCTAACCCTGATCCTGAAATATCCATATATTTATAACAATGAAACATTGATCCAGAAACATCGAGTTCACTGCTCGAATCCTGGACCGCCATCTTTGTTACGTCTTTTAAATCCAGCATTTCAAACACATTTCTATACAGGAATTTTATATGTAAACTAGCTAGTATACAAAATTGTATGTCAACATTGATTAAACGTACAGTACTTCATACAGAGTGTACGACCTCGTACGGCATTTCTGATTTATTTTTTAATTTAAGCCCTGCATGCATCCCCATTTACTTATACCTCCTGTTTTTAAAAACAGCATTTATAATATACAGGCAGGGTTTTTTTCAGGATTTTCTCTTGGGTCCGTTTTTGCAGAGAAGATTGAGTTTAGCTGAACAGCTGGGGTGGCTGCATCCCCCCTACCGGGGGGCTGACACCTGTACTCAATAATGTAGTTGAGACGGAATGTGTTAGGGACACTATAAACTGGTTAAAGATGGCGAATGCATAGTTTTTCTTGTGTTGTGAGATGAATTCCAGCCATTTTTTCTTAATTGTTGAGTTTCCAACTGAAAACTAATTTCCACACATCACGAATTTAACTCAAAGAACTTCATTTTTACTGCACTGAAACTTTGGTGAGAAGATTGAGTTTCAAAACTCAATTCAAGATTGAGTTTTTGGGGCCATTTAACGGCCCTAAAAAATCCCTGAAAAAAACCCTGACAGGGTTCAAGTTTAGTATTTCTGAAATGGTGAAACACACTGTAGTGAAAAAGTAATTTTCCAATAGTGGGTTTTAAAATTAGTAATTTTTCAATAGTGGGTTTCCAATAGTGGGTTTTTCCAATAGTGTTTTTTTTTTAAGATTTGGGTGTTTTTTGAAAGATACTTATAAATTTCCCAATTGCATGCTAAATTGGTAAAAACCATGATGTTAATAACTTGCACCCCATTGTGCCCTACTTTATTATTTTACTCTGTCCAGCACCAGATGATTTTTACTTGTCAAGGGGAGAGCACCAGGGAGAGCACTGGTGCTCAATGGGTTAATTATTTACCATTTATTTAGTGGTATCTTAACATTTTTTTCATGGGTATAAAAGTCTCCCTTGTGAATTGATCTGCACTCACATATGAGTAATTGGTTGACACTGTTGTGGTGTCCCTGCCATTTTTGTCCATGTTTATTGTCTAGATGTCTATTTGCTCTTCTGTTACGAGTTTTTGGCAAAGTTTAATAAATAAATGAGCCTCAGAATCCACTCCCTACAAAAATTTACTTTAGAGTACTACTGCTTTGAATCAAATGATGTGTTCGAAGAGGCTGGAAAGTCAAATGAGAAGAATAATGACAAAGGAAAGAAAGTTCCAGAGACGAGAGTTGATAACGAGAATGATGAAATTTTGAAACAATATTTAGTTGTGATGCAAAACAATAACCAACCATCGACAGTTAAAGGTATACAGTCAAATTCTTTAATTACAGTAATCTCGCATAACTTTTGTCACAATATTCCGAATTTCGTTTCGACGTTTGCAGGTTTGTTGCAATTAGTTTGAAGTTTGTAAGTTCACAAAACCAGTTTATAGACTAAGCATTTGATTGGCTTCTTGCAATTCATGGACCAATTAGAAGCTTTGTTTACAGACCAGCTTGCGAATTTCAATACTCAACTTTTCAACTTCGAAACGGATTTTGCGAACTTTCGAATGAATTTTGGAACAATTTAGCAAACGTTTAGTGAAATCAACTGTAACAGACACTTTATAGTGAAGTCCTCAAATGACATGCAAAAATTTTTTTACTTTCATGCAGCAGAGACCTCAAACAAGATTTGAGTTGACCCCCGTAGGTGTAACCTGTTTAGTCTGATAAACATCTGACCACTTTGTCTTGGCCAGACATTTGTCCTTCTAAACAAAATAATTATTTGCAGGCCTAGCTGCCAGGTTTGAATCTGTATCTGCAATTAGTATCAATATTTTTTAAACTAAGAAAAATATTGAATGGCTCCCTTGAAGATCCTTGCAAGACAGGTGCTCTACAAAAAATTCTAATACAAATTTCTGCTGGAGGTTGCCCCAAAATTCCAATTGGAACAAAATCCAATAGAAATTTAAATTTTCCAATGCAATTTAACTTCCAATGGAAAAAATCATTGCAATGGAAAATTGACCCAGATATTTTCAACTGGGAATACAATTCCAATTGATATAATTATGATTTATGACATACACTATCTCAATGGGAAATTTAGCTCTGCATGACTCTGCAAAATTTCACAGCAGCCCTATGTGAGTCATGGCTGAGATGAATAATGTCGCCAAATGTTTTCTTAAATTTAACTAGATCTCGCAACTGAAAAAGATCTTGATATGAATGATGGTGAATATGCTGACAATGAACCAGATGAGACGGTTGAAAATGATATGGATGATGACAATCCCGAAGCAAATGAGATGCCTGAGAAAAATGATCATGGCAAACATGGCTCTGCAGGTGAGAATAACAATGACAGTTGCATAATAATCCAGAATGAATATTATATGGTGGCAACTGTACAATGTGTAAACAAGTTGTTGGAACAGCATTCTCACAACTTGTTAACAAACTTGCTACAAACCTGTTACGAAAAGTCTTGTTGACAAGTTGTTGGAACAGGATTGTCACAACTTGTTAACAAGCTTGCTACAAACGTGTTGCGAAAAGTCTTCTCGACAAGTTGTTGGAACAGCATTGTCACAACTTGTTAACAAGCTTGCTGCAAACCTATTACAAACACATCTTTTTGAGAAGTTTTTGGAAAGCATTGTCACAACTTGTTAACAAGCTTGTAGCCTGCATGGCAGGCGGTACGTAGGAAATACCGCCTGCCGCAAAACTGGGTGTAAATGAACTACCGCCCCTGAAGCATCAAAGCTATTTATAGATGTCATTAAGTAAATATTCAAAATTAGCCACTCCCAAGTTGCTCCCAAGTCCCAACTGCCCAACATAAAATAAATTCCTTCATTCTCATCACCGCCCGACTGAATTTTAAAATCCTCGTGAAAATGTTTTATATTTTGTTATACAATATAAATGTACCGCCCGAAAAAATAATTCAAGACAGTTAATTTTTAAATATTTTATATAGGGTTTTTATTGCCATTTTAAATTTCCAATTTGAAACAAACAGAATTTTGAATGAAATTTCATTGTATTTTAAAGAAATTCAGTCATTCTGTCATTGTTCGTGGAGATACGAACTATTGATATATAAATTATATAAATATAAAATATAAAAAATAAATCTCCCACTGTCTTTGACATTTCAAAGTGTAGACTGTGTCTAGTGATGAGAATCAAGGAATTTATTTTATGTGTATAAACCAAGCCCGTTTAGCTGCCTTAAAACGGTGGTTTAATAAGCTCAAAATACAAAGCATGCAAGTCTATACTATAGATTCATCACTATCAGTCAACAACCAAACTGAAAGTTTTGAACCTTATAGAACGATAGTTTTTATTTGTTTTATACAACTATACATATTCAACGGGTATATAAGAGTTTAACTGTTATTTGATAATTACTGCATCAACCGGCCCCTACTCCCTAGTTCATACTTTGGAGGTTCGTATATCTATCAAGTATCTTTGGTTCAGAACATGACGAGTATGACGGGCCTATATGAAAATCCCACCGTTCGATTCAGTGAAGAAATATCTCCTAATTTCTATCGATAGTTTTAGTAAAATGTCAACATTATTGCGATTTATGGTCTTTGAAAGTCAAGCGAGATCGTATATTATCAAATTAATACGCATGTAATTGTCTGAACGAAAATATAGACTAGCCCATACCTTTCGCTGATCATAACTTCAGCCCCTTCGGACGTATCTTCTTTGTTAAATATTCTTGTACGAATCGCTATCAAAAACACTACTTATAGAGTGTTATTTTTCAGCTTGTATCTTTAAATTTGCTTCTTTTATTTAATATGGTATTCCATTTCTGGTCTGACTTGACGTGAACTAATTAGTGATGGGCGATACCGAGTACTCGGTATTCGATACCAGCGATACCACAAACAGCGGTATCGGTATCGATTACTGACGTGGTATCGTTCGATACTTGCACCCTTTTTTAAACGACTTGTTTAATTTCACTTCTTGGTTGAATAAGACTTAATAAACCACTAAAATAACTCTTAATATTCCAAATGTGGTGCGCCAACTCATGTATAGAAAATATTTATTACGTTTCGGGCTTTTGGTTTACTTATAGCTTTATTTAGGTTACATACAGTAATGTAAAATGTTTTTTCCGCTGACCGGCAGGTATCTAAAGTAGCCGATACTAGAAATTTAAGTACTCACTTCCGGTATCGAAAATTGAAATTTTGTGTTCATTTTGGTATCGAAATAGGTATCGGTATCGGCCGATACCGATCTTAAAAGTATCGGTATCGGTATCGAATTAAAAATCCTGGTATCGCCCATCACTAGAACTAATTTCAAAACGTCAAAACATTTGGTTAATGATTAACATTTAACCGAATTTAGCCGTTGATTGACAACTACATAAAAATACTAACCAATCCGTTTTTTCCGTTCACCAGCGGACGGGTAATTCAAAAACCCCTAGTTTTGCGGCAGACGGTATTTCCTTTGCTTCCCTAATTTTTGCTGCCCGTAGAAATACCACCTGCCATGCAGGCTAACAAGCTTGCTACAAACGTGCTGCGAAAAGTCTTGTCGACAAGTTGTTAGAACAGCATTGTCGCAACTTGTTAACAAGCTTGCTACAAATGTGTTGCGAAAAGTCCTGTCGACAAATTGTTGGAACAGCATTGTCACAACTTGTTAACAAGCTTGCTACAAGCCTGTTGAGGAGACATCTTGTTGACAAGTTGCTGGAACAGCATTGTCACAACTTGCTAACAAGCTTTCTACAACCCTGTTGAGGAGACATCGTGTTGACAAGTTGTTGGAACAGCATTGTCACAACTTGTTAACAAGCTTGCTACAAACCTGTTGAGGAGACATCGTATTGACAAGTTGTTGGAACAGCATTAATTGTCACAACTTGGTAACAAGCTTGCTACACACCTATTGCAAACACATCTTGTTGACAAGTTGTTGAAACAGCATTGTCACAACTTGTTAACAAGCTTGCTGCAAACCTACTGCAAACACATCTTTTTGAGAAGTTGTTGGAACAGCGTTGTCACAACTTGTTAACAAGCTTGCTACAAACCTATTGCAAAGACATCTTGCTGACAAGTTGTTGGAACAGCATTGTCACAACTTGTTAACAAGCTTGCTTCAAACCTATTGTAAACACATCTTGTTGAGAAGTTGTCAGAACAGCATTGTCATAACTTGTCAACAAATATCTTGTTGACAAGTTGTTGGAACAGCATTGTCCCACAACTTGTTAACAAGCTTGCTGCAAACCTATTGCCAACACATCTTGTTGACAAGTTGTTGGAACAGCATTGTCGCAACTTGTTAACAAACTTGCTACAAGCCTGTTGAGGAGACATCTTGTTGACAAGTTGTTGGAACAGCATTGTCACAACTTGTTAACAAGTGTGCTACAAACTTATTGCAAACACTTTTTGTTGAGAAGTTGTTGGAACAGCATTGTGACGAATTGTTAACAAGCTTGCTACAAACTTATTGGAATCTATATTCTTGTTGACAAGTTGTTGCAACATCATTGTCACAACTAGTCATGTCCAATACCATGAGAAAATATTGGGGATGATTGCGACTCTTTAAACACCCCTCGCGCGAGTGTTTGCCATGATTGTGTGTGTTATAAAACTAAATTTTCCATTGACAGACGAAAGCAAAGGAAATAACGATGAACAGGATGTTCTCCATGGCCTGAAGTTTCGTCTGGATGGTTTCACGGAAGAACAGGAAACTCAACTGCAGGAAGATATTGAAACCTATGGAGGCAATGTTTTATCAAATGAATCAAATATAATTGCAGATTTTCTAGTTGCGCCCTTGAATTATGAATACGAAGAGACCAGAGCTAGGAATGTGGTAAGCATTGGGAGTTCGCGCGTTGTTGGCATGGTACAAAACTTACCTACAATAAGTAGAATCTTTTTTATGCAATTTTTACAGATACAGAAGTCAAATTTGCTTGGTTTTCCCCCAACCCTCTAGCCAAGTTTCAAGGCCTGAGATATATTTCGTACACTGCAAAAGTTTAATATCATATCTTAACCTCCCTAATGTAAGGAAAACATAGGGTATGAAACAGCTGATCGTTTTATTATTGCTGCTAATTAAATCTTTCTATCCGTTTTCTAACTTGTGTTTAGGTGACATATTGTTGGTTAGAACGTTGTGTAGAATGTGGTCAGTTATTGGACCCAAATAGCGAGTTTCTCTTCACTCCATTCTCACTGCCAGATGATGTGTTTCCACTGCAAGATTGCGTCATTTCTGTTAGTCAGTACGCTGATGTAGAGAGAGAACACTTGATGCATTTGATAGAAATTTTAGGTAGGTAATAAACTGCCCATACTCAATCGAGATAAATATTTTGATTTTATCCAAAATACCCGGGTATTTAAGGTCCAGACACACCGAACGCGATTCGACAGATTTTTCGATTTTCAATGACCGATAACTTTGACCCTGGTTTAAATTTTCCAAATATTTAGAAGCGCTATAACATTTTGAGTTATTTGGTCTGGATATCTTTTAAAATTTCCTTCCATTGGCTGTTTTATTAACTTTCAAAAATTGCAAAATCGCGCCGCATTGTCGAATCGACCTTAACGCCTATATTCTAAAAGCTCACTCACACTCAAAGAGTGGAAGTTCAATCTGAGCTTCTCTTGAGTGTTTGTGCTGTTTTTGTATAGCTGGAGGGTGAGTAGTCACATAATGAGGTACGAGACTAATCCTCCAGCTATTCAAAAACAGCACTGACATTCAAGGGAAGCTCAGACTGAACCTCCACTCTTCGAGTGTGAGTGAGCTTTTAGAATACAGGCGTAAGGCTTACTGATTCCAACCTCTGTTTCTTTGCTAATGTTACTCCGGGTGTCTCCACACCGCCCAAGCTGAAAAATTGCTTGGCCGCGGTGGGAATCGAACCCGCAACCTTTGGTTTGCTAGTCCAACGTTCTACCGTCTGAGCGAAGAGATAAGTCAGTTCGAGTATGTGATATGTCAGAACTCAATCTAGTTCCCTCAATATCAACACCAGAACCACCAGACGTTAGATCACAAGGTATACTCAGGCACAGAATATTATACACAAGTCCATCTCCATTGTTTTTTGCATAAGCGCTATTCGTCACTCGGCAAGTACAGTAAACAGAAGAAGTCACCCCCTGGATGTGTGCTATTTTGAATATTTCCAGGGGGGTGACTGCTTCTGTTTACGGTACTTGCTGAGTGACGAGTCATGACGAATAGCGCTTACGCAAAAAAACAGTGGAGATGTACTTCTGCATGGTATTCTGTGACTCAGGTATCGAATATCATTTATTCGAACTGACTTGACGTCGTACAGTAGCTCAGTTGGTAGAGCGTTTGACTAGCAAGCCAAAGGGCCACTAATTTATCAGTAGCTCACGCTTACTGTCATGTGTTACCCTCGGTAAATAAAGTCAATGAAATGAAATGAAATGAAAGGTTCGATTCCCACCATAGTCGAGCAATTTTTAGCTTGCTGGGTGTAGGGACACTCTAGAGTAACATCAAGAAAAAATTAACCACCACAACCACTTCTATTATGTTTTCCCATTTGTATAGGCGGTTTTTTCCAGGAATATTTCTCACGTGCCACTAAAACAAATCTCCTGGCCAACACTCATCTTATTCTTCAAGACCCACTTGGATCTAAATACCAAGCTGCTGTAAACTGGGGCATTCCAGCTGTAAGCACTGAGTGGTTGTACGAATGTACCCGAACTGGTAACAAGGTCCCTGAAACACCTTATGTACTGTCAGCTGAGAAATCTCCTAGGGAGAAGGGTCAAACAGGGATAGAGAAGGGTGAAACAGGGGTAGAGACGAAACAACAGGCACAGTTAGAGAATAAGACCAACAGTGTATTCAATGAGTTTACTGTGCCTCAAAGAAAAGGCGTCAAGGAAACCGGGGCAGATATTGAAAGTCATCAGGAGACTGGGGATAAGTCAGAACCACCGTTGAACAATCAGAAAACAAAAGGTAGGATGTCATGTGATGTTGTAGTGTGACGTCATCATTGTAATTTCAATTACAAATTTAGGGTTGAGTTGCAGAAATTCTGGTCAACAGGCTTTTAAATTCATTATACCTCGTAAGCTAGTATGATGGCCTCGTCAAGTATTTCTTAGTCATCCATTATTAAAATATATATGCTTTTATGGCTAAATAGACTAATGCTTGCAGTGGCGTAGCCAGCCCGACAATTGGTCCCGCTATGCAAATTCAAAATTATTTATCATTATTCATTTCTTTAGAAATTGATTGTTTTCATAGGCAATGAACACGAAAATATTTGCATAGCGGGACTAAATCGTCGGGCTGGCTACCTGCTTGATGTACCAGGATGTCCAAAAATTACAGACGTAGGTTACTGTAAGCTGGACCATTATCTGTTCGTTCTTCTCTTCTTTTACTCTTCTTGGTCCGTTAAACCCATTTCCCACTAGGCGAATTTGTTTCACGCGAACAGTAAAAAAGTAGGAACTGATCCAACTTTTTCGCGGCGAATTTTTCGCTGACCAATCACATTGCCAAGATTTGTTTTTCGCTTCGTGCGAACAAACTCACCTGGTGGAAAATGGGCTTAAAGCTCAGAGAGGGTTTCGCCGTTGCGACATCTCTGTTTCCAAAGATTTCGATTTGTGGTATGGCTTCCCTACGTGTTAGGATCTATACCAGACTTCTTCTGGCTTTGAGAAGGTCCTTAAATTTCCTTAGCTGCCCCCAAGCAAATCCTCGCCGTGCTCTAGTACTGAGTAGAACAGAGCAATTAAATAATAATAACTTGTTTTATTATTTTCTCTCTTACCCTTACAATACTGTTATTTATTGTGCGAAGATTATACGTTTTCTACGAAAGAGGTAATTTTTAAACAATCGCAAATTGTGCTTTATAGACAAAGGAGTGGTGTCGTCCTCGAGCAGACAACCAATCATATTGAAAGTCCCGCCATTCTTCGGCAAACCTCAGCGCCCTTCATTTGACTTAACGGATGCCCTGGAATACCTTCAATCACCATGCACATCCTCTGGCAGTAGCAGCGCTCACAGTCGCTTGAGCCGAGGTAGCAGGAATAGCTTTCTTATGGATGACTACATACAGGAACATTTACAGGCTGCTTTGAAGAATTCTGGTAATCTACTTGAGTCTCATAAGAGTGGTCATGATGGATCTACTGCTGATAAAGAGATATCTACTATTGATAAAGAGGGATCTACTGTTGATAGAGAGATATCTATTATTGTCAAAGAGGGATCGACTGTTGATAAGGAAGGATATATTGTTGATAAAGAGGGATCCACTGTTAATAAAGAAGGATCTACTATTGATAAAGAAGATCATCAGGAGGTGAATAAACTCTGGTTTATATACGAAAGCTAGATAGCCCTCTTTACCGGATAGTGATTTTTTCGTGATTTCTAAAAACGTCCGTTGATTGGCATCAGATAAACTTTAGTATTTATAAATTAAAGTATGTTTTTATTAAAGTGCGACTAACCACAAATATGATTTTTGGTTTGTGTAATATTTGGGTCATTCGAAGGAGAAATGTAGTATATCTTTATAATAAAAAATCCCATCTTGATCAACTTTTTCACTGTCAAAGTTTCCGGATATGATGTTATTAGGTGAATTGCAAATTAGTTTTCCCTTGTTTTTTGTACCAAAAATTCACTTAATGACATCATATCCAGAATCTTTGACAGTGAAAATTTTGATCAAGATGAGGTTTTTTACTATAAAGATTACATTTCTTCTTAGAATGACCCAAATATTACACATACCAAACATTATATTTGGGGTTAGTCGTACTTTAACTGTGATGTCCATATCCGTTGAATAAATTCATAGCAAAAGATTAACAAACAAATATGTGATTAATTCTTCTAAGATAGCTCTAGGTTAAGACAGTTGTTTGTGTTTTTAGGAGAAAGCATCAAACGACCCTTCTATCCTTCGTGGTGTTGTACTTGCTGTCTCAAAGAAATGTGCAAAACAATTGTCCGATATTTCCAACATGGCGACATCTGTTGGTGCTCAATATAAGGGCAGCTTGGATAAGAATTGTACGCATTACATTCACGAGGTATGTTCTTGATTGTTTTCACAACCCAGGGGTCGAAATTCACATTTTTTTGTACCATACAGCCGGAATAGTAGATTTTTATATTTACTATTCCGTCTGAAGATCCACTATTCCTTAATGTACTGTTTCTGATTTTCATGAAATCATCCTTGAGACTCCTAAAGTGAACATGTACAGAACAAAAAATAAACATGTACACTGCATTGCTCTGTACAGTGATGAACAAATTATTAATAAAAAACAAAGTTCAAACACTGAAATGAACTTGCGAACTTTGTTGTGAAGTTGGCGCCCAATTTCCGAACTTGGAAACGTAATTGGCAAGTTCGCAACGAACTTGGGTACCGCGTGTTGACTTGAAATCGACAATAATATTGCTGCAAAGAAATTAAAATACACAAGTACTGCAAGCGAACAAGAACTTAGCTACGAAGTGGAACAGTGGCTCAAAGTCCGGTATAAAGTGATATATTATAGGATCAGAAAAACCCTTGCTTGTCGATATTTGGTATCACATTGGTACCTACTATTCCGTCACGCATTTTAGTATATTCGGAATAGTGGAATAGCGGGAATTTCGACCCCTGCAACCCTTATACAGTACGTTCGGTTAGCGCGTTGTTTGCTGTTCAGTGACAAGTCAGGTGGGCTTATAATTTGTTTCATTTAGGGTCGTCTAACAAAAGACCAAAGAAAAACCAAGGGAGTACATGTAGTCTCACCTCACTGGCTGTATGACTGTATCAAACAACAACGTCGTCTTGATGAAAGTTTCTATCCTTCTAACTACAATCCTAAACTTGCATTGTCTGTGGTCAAGACAAGGAGATCTACACGAAGTACTAAAGATGTTGAGGTAAGTTTAGGATAGAAAGTGTGGGTGCTAATCCATAATCATCTCATCCTCGTTCCCAGGGCTTCTCGGCTACGTCAGGCAACCGAGAAGTCATGGGAACGAGGACGTAATCATCCACTCTTCCAACTGAATGCTGGATTGCAAAGGAAGCAGCTCACGCATGACCGAGCTGACATTTTACTTGGGCGCTTGTGGCTGCGCCCCATGTCTGATCACGGAGTGCAGGTAAGGTGGTTGGGTGGAAAGAGTTCAGCTAATGTGGAATTGTTTTGTTCGTGTGGAGCTACTGTGAGGAACACCACTGTCAAACATCCGCGTGTTTACTGCTTGCACTCGAAAGACTGGAACTAGTATTGTCTAGCAAAATGTTTAAAGCAAATTACGGGAGTTTAAACTCAGTATAGCTTCGTCTTGACATGTGGAAAAAGTGGTGACATTCCCTACAATACCTTGCTGTGGCCGTTTCCTTATAGTAAACGGTTGACCACGTTGTTACTATGAGGTTGGAACATAGGTTGAAAGAGCGCAGCTAAGGTTGGAAGGACGAGGGAGGAAAACCGTCTGGAGACAAACTTCAAACAAAAGGAGACAAACAACCACAACTCTACTAACACGAGTTTTCGATCACATCTGTATAGTCATGCAGAACAGGATAATTTCCCATCAAAATAATAATACCTTGCAGTAACTTAGCGTTAAGAGCAGAGCAGGAATAAAGGATTTTCTTCCTTCGAGCACAACCTGGAGAATACAATTTCCTGCAGACCAACGGAGTATTTTTGTGCTAAATCTGCATGTGCATAAACATATGATGTTCTAGCTGACCATGGCTTTAAATTCAAGGAATAGTGTTTGTCAACCATATGTTGTTGCGCCCATAGTGGGACATGGGTGTTAAGGTTTCCTTCAAATTTTCAATAGCGAATCTTCGATCAAATGAATTTCCTGCAGCTGTTTAACATTTCCTACGAGCAGTGCTCACGTGCTCGCCTATTTTTTTACCCCTAGGTAAGAGACAGAGTGCTAACCACATCAGCCATACATGCTTCCCAAAGCAAGATTAGCTAACGCACAATAGCGATCACTTTGAATTACCCACGATAATCGAAGTACACTGTAGCAAAAAAGTAGCGAATATACGAAATAATAGACAATTTGGATGTTAGACAATTTTTGATCTAGGCAAAAAAAGTGAACTCCCGAAAAGAACTTACTAAAATTAGTAAAATTGCAAAATTTGGTTACGAAATGGTTTAAAAATATGGAAAATATAGCCTTGCGGAGTTTGCATATTTTGTATATGTTTGTATTACGTGCGGAAATTGTTACCATTTCTGAGCCGAAAATGGTAACAATTTTCGCGCGTAATACAAAATGTGCAAACTTTGCAAGGCTTTATTTTCCAAGCTTCGCAACATTTCGCAACCAAATTTTGCAATTTTACTAATTTCATTATGTTCTTTTTAGCTGTGGTGTTTGATTTCCTTCTCTTTACTTAGATTAAAATTTAGTCTAACATGCAAATTGTCCATTGCAATACAGCCTCGTCATTTTGGTTTATGAATTATAGGATGATACAAGTATTCATACATCAAAATCAATGACGGAGAAGATAGACAACACTTCAGCTGATCCCCGGAATGAAGAAGATACCGATAAAGAACAGGGGGGCGCGTCACCCGAGACCACGACAGATGAACGTACGAAGGATTTCCCAATGGATGATCTTAAACAAAGTGAATTGGAAGCGCTAGAAGCGATTAGTCAGAGTTCTGTACAAAGTGATTCGTTGAGAACTAGAGAAGAAATTAAACAAATACACGATCTCATGGAGTCGATGAAGGTAATTAATGGATAATTCAAGCTATCGACTAATTTTGTATCTAGACAAGAAAGACGAAATCTATCATTATAGCTCAAACGAGAATCCAAAAATACAAAACAATAGATACTCCGAAAATTGAAAATTTTTTTTTCAATTTTTTTTTTCATTTCATGCACCACTTTCGGCTCAAAAGTGGTGCATTTTTCTGCACGTAATACTAGAACACTCAAAATTTGCTAATTTCACAGGGCTATATTTTCTGTATTTTACAACATTTCGCAACCAAACTTTGCAATATTACTAATTTTAGGATGCTCTTTTGAGCTATAGTGATAGATTGCGTCCTTCTTGTCTGCATCAAAAATTAATCTATAGCTGGAGTCACCTATTACTCCACCGTGACCGAGTCAAAGATTACCTAGGGTGTTTCTGCTTATCACCATACGACCACTGCATACGACCCATTTCTGATCACGGAGCCTAACTAAGGTGGAAGGGTTAAGGCCGTTTTCAATTTCAACCGTATACCGTAACGTGTTGTAGCATTTTCATTAGTTCCACTCATTGAACTATAAATAAACTGGAAGGCTAACTCAGGGGGGGGGAATTGAAGCCAGTGCATTTTAGTTTTTCTGAGTTATGAGCAGAAATACTCAACACTGAACGTTGGACTATATATCAAACTGAAGCTATTGAAAAACGCTATTTGGTGTAGAAATTTCAAGACTTTAGCTAAAAGGGAAATATTGAAAAACTACAAACATAATTACCGATAATTTGCCGTTTTGCAGTTGTTTTTGTATTTTTTAAATATTTTTCTTTTCGCTGAAGTCTTGAAATTTCCACACCAAATAGCAATTTTCAGTAGCTTCAATTTGATATATAGCCCGACGTTTGGGGTCAAGTATTTCTGCTCATAACTCAGAAAAACTATTTTGGCTTCATCAAATCATAGGCCTTCATCATAGCAGTTAGCCTTCCAGTTTATTTATAGTTCAATGGTTCCATTCCAGTACTCAGGAAACAAAGAAATACGCTTCGGTGGAAAACGACCTTTACTTTTTGGTAAGAGAGTAGAAGAGAACCTGAGTAGCCGGGAAAAACCCTCGTAGCACTGGAGAAGATGAGTTTTCAAGCACAGCAAGTCAGAATACCATACGTAAAGCGCCACCGGGACACTAACCGCATTTTCCACGCAGGGTTTACGGTATATTTGTATAATTCACCTCTGTATACTGTATTTGATACTTAACGTGGCACCGTATATGCCCCATCCCAGCGGGCAAAATGATGTTTATCCAACGTTGAATCAACGTTGGAAATAACCTTCCAGACGTTGGATAGACGTTGAAAAAGGGTTGACTATGCAAATGGGATCGACGTTACTGTTTCGACGTTGAAACAACGTTGAAATTAGGTTGCCAATCTCGTCAACCATAATTCAACGTTGAATCCACGTTAAAACAATGTTGAGATTGGTTCACAAATCGACGTCGTACATTTAACCATGAATGAACGTTAATTCAACGTCTGTTGGCTGCTGTTGAACCAATGTTTGTAAAACAACGTCAGAGCAACGTAGACATTAGGTTGTCGACGTCGCAACCTTTTTTCTACCAAATTTCAACGTTGAAACAACGTCGTGTGCCCGGTGGCCGGTGGGATGTATATGACGTATTTCTGGTGTTTGAGTAAACTGTAAAGTAGTTAACATTGCCATTTGGATTCTCTGTATGTTGTTCAATTGTGTTGCAGACCACACGCCGCCGCAGTAGCAGACTTCATAATTCTGGAAATTCTCGGAACTCATCTGAGTCGAACGACCCGAAGAATCCACGCAGACCGTCTTCTCGTCTACGAACTTTACGCTCAAACAAGGTAATACCAGTTTCATCCTTAAGTACTGATGCTTCTCTTCCTTTTTTCCTCAGAATTTTCCTTTCTCGCTCCCCCCACCTTAAAGACAATACACGTTTCTTCAACTCAATATTCGTTTGCGTTTTTTAAATTCTGGATAGCAACATCCATGAGGACCTCCTTTCGGTCCTGAAGAGTGCCGGAGTGCCGAATAAGAACCAGTAAGCTGTTACACTGGGCCTCCAGGACAACAGTTTAGAACTGATAAACCTCTCCAGTATAAATAAAGTTTCTTTATTAATGGTTTGGTAAATACCGAAGTTGCAGCCAGGATTGCACGAATAAAGATTTTGTTAGAAAACTTTATTAACAATCTTGTTAAAATGTATGACACTGACTAAAAATGTTAAAAAGACGTTTCTGTCAAAAATCTCCGACCTTCTTCGGTTATATGAGCAACTTATTAAGGCCTGTTTTATACGTCGAATTTTGGTCGCGTCGAATGCAATTCAAACAATAGATAATGAAGCTTAATGAGGTTTATCATCTCATTATCTATTGTCTTAATTGCATTCGACCCGACCAAAATTCGACGTATAAAACAGGCCTTAGTCAGTGTGAAACATTTTATCTTGAATTTGCAACAATGTACTTTCACAAGAGTTGCTAGGTGCATGATTAATGTACAACCCAATTGATATTGTTTTGCATTCAGGATAACAGTGAGGAAGATGATGATAATGATCAGACCTTGGAGGGCGAAATTACATATGATGATCCAAAAAGCAGATACGAAAGACAGAAGATTATAGCTCAGTTAGATGACTGTAGTCCTAATGTAAATAAAGAGCTTAACCTCAAAAGTATTGCCGATAAGCAGGTACGATATACACTTTTCTCGCGCTTTTTCGCGTCGCAGTTTCGAGGAAGGACAGAGTGCTACGCCTTTCGGTGACAGGATGTTTGTCTTTTATTCTAAACGTACTTTATCTTAGCTATGTCCTAAAACTTTACTTCAACTTTATAGTATTAAGATAGTATCAGCCCAGGTATGCAACGATTATCATTGGGACAGGCATTCAGCCAGGCGGCCGTCCAACTGCCCTATGGACAGCCACTTTTTGAGCGGCCTAAGAAAATGTTTTCTTAAAACAGCAACTCGCAAGTTGTCTCAAACGTTGTCAGGAAACATTAAAATGAGGTTGAGATAAGATGAGCTTTTACCAAGGTCAGATCGAAAGTTCGGTCGACATTGAGTCATGATTGTGGTCAAGTTTGGTAAGATTAAGATGGGTTGTTTTATATATGTTTTGCGTTCCTTGCAGGTGAATAGATCCACAAGAAAAGACGACTCTCCCTATCAGAGATCTGCAATTAAAAATGAACCTGTTTCCCCTACCTCGCCTCTTCACTCATCGACCCCTACTGCACCACCTATTGCTTTACATATTACTTCACGGTCTGATCTTCCTGAGCCGGTCAGCCTGTTAGATCCAGCTGAAGAGATAGTACAAGTTGCGGAAAAACCTCGTCCGAAGTTCATTCTTTCCACGATGTCTCAACAAGAGAAGATTGATTACGGCGCTTTGATTGAAGATCTGGGCGGGGTGGTATTTGATTACCAGTTTTTTAACCCTTCAAGTCAATATACAATTGCTGGACAGTTAAACAGGTTTGTCATTCTTAAATAGTTTGATGATCATTCATTCATTCAGTCAGTCTTTGAAACAAGAAGGAAGTCTCTCTAAAAGAAACTTAAACTATGAGTTTTTGTTCCAGTCAAAACCATTAAAAACTATCATATCTCTGGAGGATGGTTCTGAAATACACTTAATACATTTTGTGTGTGTTTATGTTATCTCCTCAGGTGAATATGATATTTATGATTTTACTCTGTTTGTGAGTGTGCATCCAGAACGGGCAAGCTGAAAAGTTTGCCTGACCACGGTGAATGCACACTCAGAGTAACAGCACAAACATCATATTCACCTGAATACATAACACCAACACACACAAAAAGTATCATGTCTTAGAATACATTTATATCGAAGGAACTAGGCTCAGTTCCGAAATATCATTATCTCAAAACCTGACCTCGTACAGTTGGTAGAGTATTGGACTTGTATCCCAAAGGTCGCGGGTTCGATTCCCACCCTGGTCAGGCAAACTTTTCAGCTTGCCCGGTGTGTATGCAGACTAGCTCAGAGTAACATCACAAACACATTTGATAGATTCTCGTTAATCCATGCTGGGAGCTCTCTCATAAGATATCTGGCAATAAAGAGAACATTTAGAAGATGTGAAAGTTTTTGCCGTTACGTTTATTATATTATTACAATATCTGTCACGTTACATTATTTTTCTCTATTTTAGGAATGAAAAATGTTTATCGTCTGTAGCGGCTGGCAACTGGTTATTACGAAAGTCATATTTAGAAGCATGTCGTAAAGCGGGATATTTTGTCGATGAAGAACCTCATGAATGGGGAGTTGAGATACCTGGAGAATCTTTGACAAGTTTAGGTGTGGCATCACGCAAGTGGAGAATTGAGTTAGCCAAGGTAACATTTTTACATGTTTTAAGAAAAGAGATAAATGCCTTGAAACCAGATTGCATTTATAGTAGTAAAATCCCTACAACATAATCTTTGATAATTATGAGATGTTGTTGCATTTACTAACTCTATTACTGTGTCTTAAAATTTGTAAAGTATTTTTATATGTTAAGTATTTCTAATTGTTAGTTTAATATTTTCGTAATATAAGCTTTACCCATACCTTGTAACTAGGGCATGCGAATAAAGCAATAAATAGCAAATAGCTTTGAAATTTGTGACTTTCCATATATTCAGGGGTGGAAAAAGTATCCGACCACGGGACCATTGGTCCCAGAAAAGTTCTTGAGTTCCTAGAAAATATTTTCCCAAGAAAGAAAAAATTTGTAATAATTCAGATAAAAAGGAGAAATTCAGAGGAAAATTTATACCATGACCTCAGAAATGCAATTATAAGTGCGTCCATCTTAATAGACCCATTGCACTGACGTCGCAAATCCTTAGAGTGTCCTCCAGATGCTCCCAAACAATATCTGTTCGGGTACAACAACCACATACAGCGCAAAAACTAACCATTTTAATACAAAATTATTATAAACTTTTACAAAATTTGCTTTGTTCACAAAAGTTATATTATGCATAGATTGCTAATTTGTCCTCCAGATGCATCGTCATCGGCGCAATGGGTCTATAGTGCGATGGGTCTATAAATGTATTACAGAATGATGTAACAATTGTTGTACAAATGCATTTTTGGCCAATCTGGGACACTTGATGTTCTGGGAGAGCCTGGATCCACCTGATAGTGCCCCCTAGTAGTGCCCTTTTTTGGCATCTGTATTTACCTTAGGATCCAACCTTTGATGCATGTTATCTAAATTATAGTTTTATGTTATGTGCACTGAAATATTGTTTTCTGTAAAATATGGCATGGCATTCAGTTTTACAGCTTGTTGGTGTCACACAGTTACAGTGTCCGAGTGTCGATTCACTTGATTATTTGCAGAAAATTTTCAATGTTCTCTTGCGGTCCCAGAAAGTAAAATATTTTTCCACCCCTGCATATACTGTATTTGTACCAAACATTAAGTTGGGATTAGGATAGGGTTAGGATGATGGCCTGTCTTGCGTGTGCTCTGTTTTGTCCGGAAAAAATGTCCGACCAATTGAGCATTTGGTCGGACAAACTGTAATTTGGGTTACATTTTCATGTCACGCAGTCACGAAATATGATTGGTTAGGAGGTTAGGGTTAGGGATAGGGATTGGATTAGGTTTCGTGATTGCATGACATGAAAAGATAACCGTAATTTGGTCGGAAAATGTACGATGTCCAACCGTTATTTCAGACTGTGGTTCTCAGTCAAGTGGAATAAAAATTTCCATATGATGGCTTTACCCCACCTGACCGGGATGGAATTTTTTTACCGATTTTGACGTATACAGGGTGTCCCAAAAAACCCCGAAAACTATTGAAATCACCAATAACAATTTAATTGTTAGAATTTGAATGCCTTAGCGCTCTGTTGGTTCCCACGAGTGCATAAATGATTGACATAAGTAAATTTTATGCATAAAGAAACTGTTTAAGAAGCTGTTTTTAATTCCCAGGAGCAGAAAATCGCGCACTTTAGCAGGAGATATTCGTAACTAAATTCTAATACATGCACCTTGTCAATTTTTACGCATCATTACGTCCAGCTGTTTGGTAGGGCATTCAAATTTAACAATAAGTGATTTCAATAGTTTTCGGGGTTTTTTGGGACACCCTGTAGTATACATAGTATTGAAGGCATACAGTTGAAAAATATAAACAAAAATATATACATCAATAGACCTAAACAGACAGTGTAAGCCCACAAGAAACGTATTGTGCTCACTTTTGTTGTAGAAATCTGCGCTGTATGAAAGGAAATTCGGTGCATTTCAAGACTGGAAAGTATTGTTGTGTGTTGAAGAGAGTAAAGCTGGATCGTTTACCAGAATGTTAGAAGCTGGCGGGGCTAAAGTACTGGGAAGTACACCACCATTTCAGAACATCGCTCATGTTACTCATGCTTTTATCAGTAAGTTTAATATTCAGGGACATTTTTAGGATAATTAACAATTATTCGCCTAAGGCGAGGTGATTATCGGTGAATAAAAACCGAGACAAAGTCGAGGTTTTTGGTCACGATAATCACCGAGCCTGAGGTGAATAATTGTTTTAGTATAACTTCATAGGTGATTATTTGGGAAAAAATAAAAATACACATTTCTCATTTACTTTGACAAAACGGTTTGCCGCCATTTTGAAAAACTCTTTATAGGTGATTATCGCTTTATAATCACCTCTTCAGCAACCAATCAGCGTGGAGAATAATCACCTATGTAATTATACTAATATTTATTATAAGTAGGTTTTTTCAAGTACGTCTGGAGCAGTTGCGAAAAATGCAAGTCCGGCACGAATATGATTCCTGCCAGAGGGCCCATGGTCTAATAAATGTATAAAATATACAGTCAAGATTTCCATCTATAAAACCCTTCAACAATTAGTTCTATCGAGTGAGATACCCGAAATCCTAACAATCCATGGGGGCGGTGGGATAGGCGCTGCACCTCCCCCAATATATTTCCACCTGCCCCAGCACTTCCACCGAAATCCGGCCTTGAACAAAATAGGGCTTACTGGGCCGACCGCAGTCGGCTTAGTGGGTTAATACTACATGTTGAATATCTGAATATCCGTGCTTTGTTCCTGCGTTTATAGGTCCTGGTGCCACCCTTGTTAATAACATCGACTTTGATCGTCTGGAACACGCTGGCATACTGATTCTCAGAACTGATTACATTGTTGACTACCTGACTGCTGGGAACACCTCGCCAGATTTATCGAAATACTCGTATCGACCCGCGAGCTCAAACATGTCTTCCAGGAAACGTAAGCAGCGCGAATCCAATTTGCCGGAGACTCCAGGGAAGAAGAAAAGAGAAAATTAGAGGTATGGAATAACTCATACACACGCAGGAAAGAATTTACATACGAAAGTGAATTCTGTAAATCGTCTATTAGCGCCCCCTCCCCCCTTCCCATCAAATATGCTCCCGCCCTCTCCAATTAATAAGAGAGCTTAAGCTTCGCGTTATACGTCAAACGGTAACCGCCAGGCAAAGAAAAATTTTACGGTATCAGGCAATAAAGAGTAAGTGAACGTGCTGTTTTAAAACTGCAATGCATGATTATTATTTTGGCACAAGAAATAAAATATGAAACGAAAACGTTCAACGAAAATTTTGCCAAGAAAATTCGAACCTCCCGTTTGCCGTTCCCGGAAACGTGAAGCTTAAACTCCCTAATAACCAACCCCCCACCCCTTACAGGAAAAATGTTTAAACCTCTGCTCTAACTCTTAAGCACCCCTCACCCTCTGCGTTTTGGTTAATTAACATAAGATCCCCTCTCCATTCAGCCCCTGTCACTGGAAATGTTTTTCAAAATTCTTACTATGAAAATAGTATGGAAATCCAATTTTCATACTGATTGCAATTTCCACACTATGGATATAGTCTGAAAATAGTATGGATATACCATGGATTCAGTGATGCTATTGCAAGTCCCATACAGGCACATTTCCCTATCTTTTTTCCGGTTTGTCTTCAATAAAGGCGGCTTAATAGAGTATTTACGGTATATCACTATATTTTTGTAAATACACATATTGCATATATGTTTTTGCTGTTCTCTGCATCTCTTAGAACCTATAGTATGAACAGTTTAAAGCATGGAAGGATAAGATATGCTATTTTTATTTTCTATTACAGTAGATATTGTATAGTTCTGAGTATTTTTAACATTGTACAAGTTCACATCGTACTGGTCATTATCGTCAATTTGAAAACAATTCCAAAAATATTTTAAAACGACATGTAAAAAAATAAAATTGCACCTTGTATAAAAATCCAATGATGTTAAAAATTATTAAATGTTTTTTAAAAATAATACGTGTTATACAGTTTTATGTTTTACATGCTGTGATTTTAGTTTTTTTATTTGAAAGAACGGAGATAGGAACTTGTTGGACGAAAGACGATTTCGTGTTTTAAAAAGTGTGCGGGTCCGTCTTGTATACGAAATGCTCTTTTCGAATTTGTTTTAAATGGGAAAATAGCTATACGCAATACGTTTCTATAATATTAAAGTAAAGTTTCTTTAAAGCTATTTTAATTTAAACGAACTGGTAAATTACCTCTTCCCTTATGGAAACGTGATTATTTTCTCATTTACTAAAGACTTCTCACGTGCAAGGTATAATGAAGTAAAATTTATTATTCTTTATAATAATTCAAATTATTAAATGTTACATTTTAAATTTACAACTTTACAGGGATCACAGCATGCAAATTACAAACAAAATACGATATTTTGAAACAATTATATTGATATCAATACACAACTTGCAACAAAAAATCCGATTTCAACGCATGTTAAGTAGAAATGTTGACACATGTTGCCTTGTGATTTGTAATTTATGTGTAAACATTTTCAATTAACATGCGTTGAAATCAGATTTTGTTGCAAGTTGCAGCAATTTTTTTGCTCGTATTACTCCACCTTTAGTGTCCTCGGCAGCTTGTTTGTATAACGCGGGTTTGTGCAAAGGTAACTAGTATTTAAATAGTAGGGTTTATGCAAAGCTAACTAGTATTTAAATCTTGTTATACTCAACATACTATATATAGCCTGCAAAGCAGGCGTTTTTGAAGCCACCCCCGTGCCTTTCAAAATACTAAACACTTGCATGCTTTGGCTCAGACGCCTCAGTGCTTTTTAGAAAGCCTCGGATTGATAGAAATACAACTACCCGAAAATACAAGCAGAACTTCATATGGATACAACTATGTACCTGAAAATACAAGAACTTAGAACTTCAAATTCTGCTTTTGTATTTTTTTCAGGCAGTTTTATCCCTATCAATCCCCAACTTTCTTCTAATTGTCACTACTGGCTACACACTGCAGGCAACAGAGTACTTTTACTTCTCGTGTAGACCCCCAGAAGACCACCCGCGCAGCCTGCATAAGAGGCTACTTCTTACTAATGTCAAAGAACACTTGACCACTTTCCTGTTCTCCAAATTGTGCGTAATTATATGATGTATTATAATCTGTGGCTGTACGGTATAATCGATAAGCATTATAGATCACATTCAATCACGCTTCACTCACTGTTGCAATAATTATCTGTACTTGTATATAAATCATGTGCACTTTCTATGAAATCTCACATCATCATCTCAAACGGTGTCACAGTGTTGGTGTTCTTGTATTTCTTACCAACTCCGTGTGATTTTCTGAACCATTGATACGGCATTAAAATTCTGAAGAACTCCTCTCTCATATCACTGTTAAAATGAACTAAGACCAACGGCGCTAGTCCTGCGAAGCTATACGTTATTACCTCAGTCAGTACATCAAAAGCTTTCGCACTGCTGGACGACATAGAGTTATCATCTACAATGAGATAAATACATCGAGGTGCCCACATCAAGACATAAAGAAGTATTACTAATATCACCACTCGAGACCAACGAACTTCAGCAGAAAAATCAAGAGGAATTCTCTTGTACTCTGTAAAACGTGAATCCACAACGCCTATGGACTGTGCATGCTTTGCTGAGAGCTTCGTGATTTGGTAGTGTATTCCAAACATCAAAATGAGAGGAATTACTTCAACAGTTAGAAGAAGATACACGTAATTCTCCTTGCGTAAAAGATTAAAGTTACATGTGAACAACTTGAGACCACTGCCAGTATGGTACAACGATACAAATGATACCAATATTGCCAAGCACCATACTGCGAACAGAATGAGCAAAGTTCGATTGTGGGTCAATATACTGCTATATTTGTCCGGTCTTGAGATCGCGATGTATCTGTCTAAGCTGACAGACACTAGAGTTAATATAGAGACCACACACCACAGTAAAGTGGCAGTAAGGTAAGCCTCGCATAATGTCGTCTCTTCGTTTAAATCTCTGTCATTTTCATTCCAAATTCTTGCGATGCGCAAAGGAATGATGGTCGTTGCGGGGATGAAATTTGCGATGATCAGACTCATCGAGTGCAAGTGTGTAACTTTGTGAAGACGTTTGTTTTTCCATATGGACAGCAGTAGAATAAAGTTACCAAATAGCGTGAACAGCATTAAGATTACTAAAAGCACCGAGTTAAGTTCCAGTACAGAATGATTGTTTGTGGTACTGTGTTGTTGATCTGATGCCATTTCAGCTGTTCGTAGAATTACGTGCGTCGATACGACGCCACTAAACTCGAAGGTATGAAGTGTGAAACGTCGTAAGATGTTGTCTTAAATTGAAAGCTAGTGCTATACCAAGTGGTATTCGGCCCGTATTCCACAGTGCTTCATATACCTATGTATATGTTCCTATCAGCACAGCCAGTTTCAGCTTGCTAAATACCAAGATACCAACACGTTTGCCTGTCAGAATTCAATCTGAAAACGAAGAAATGTATTAAGTCTGGTAAGTGTGGCTAACTTTGCTTAAATGATGCTCTTTTGGCTTGCTATATACCACGGTCAATAAATCGTTATTCCACGACGCAACACGGCGTGTAATATTTGAATATAACACCAATACCTCAATTCTTCATTAAACCACCAACGTCTGGCAAACAGTAACCACGATAAACTAATCTTTTTAATCTTTCTTGAACGATATTCTTTAGCATTAAACAGAGCAAGTATTTTACTGATATAAGTGTAGCAGTTTAATTAAAGGACGCTAAACTGTACAACAGAAATATGCAGTAACCATAGAGACTCGTCAACATGACTCAGGTTACAAAAGATATTTAATCCGGGGTGATTAGTGTTAAGTTTGTTAACTTTATTACAAAGCAAGTTAATTCTTGTGTATATATTATCAGCCAGTCATTGTAAAACGCGATGAAAACACTGACTCGTCCTCAGTCGTGTCTTCAGTTTTATAAAAAGAAAAGCTTGTCTTTGCTTTACATGATCTTATTACGTGTGATACTCAGTGGTATGCTCAGTGGTGGTATGGCACACGCGAATGAAAGATTTTCTTTTTATAAAACTGAAGAGACGACTGAGGATGAGGCAGATAAAAACACACTTCTCAACATTTCGGGCGAAGGCTTATGAAATTTTGTAGGTGGGTTTTCTCAAACACTATGCAACAGATGATGGTCAACCCGCAGTTATTAGAGTGAGAAAATTTGCTACTAAAGCCTGCATGGTTCGCACTAGCAATTTTGTCGGCGATTTTGTGTTTCTGACGGATGCAAATGAGTGAACACAAAACTATAGCCTGTATTCTAAAAGCTCACTCACAATCACACTCAAAGAGTGGAGGTTCGCCCTTACGAAAAAAATCTATAGGTTCCTATAGGAATTGTTCCAATTCCCTATAGAAGCCTTTAGGCACCTATAGAGCTCTATAGACTTATAGGCATCCCTATAGGTCACCTATAGAAAATGTTCCAATTGCCTATAAAAACCTATAGGTTTCCTATAGAAACCTCTATGTTGGCCTATAGGCCAGGCCTATAGACTTTTTTTGTTAGGGTCAATCTGAGCTTCCCTTGATTAAGTGTCAATGCTGTTTTTGAATAGCTGGAGGGCTAGTGTCATATACCTTACTATGTGACTTAGAATACGGGCGATAGAGCCACTTTTCAGACGTCTTTGGCACTCTTTGCATGTCATTCAAGTCTTTAATTTACATGTCATTCATTCGATCACATTTGCCAGGAGGAGAAAAATCGCCGACAGAATTGCTGGTCGGTAAACCAGACTTAACTTCCGGGACGAAGGTCCTTCGCTCGAAATTTCGAGGTTTTACTTGTATTTTTCAGGCAGTTGAATACCTTTCAATCCGTAGCTTTCTGAGAATATTCTTTCCTGTATAGAGATGCCTACGGAGAAGGCTGTTCATATTATGCAGTACTAGTGTATTGTGTACCAACGATAACTGGCCTTCACTCGTGACCACCAAATATAGTTGGAATATAAAAAGGGTGTCCCAAAAAAAACGAAAAACCATTGAAATAACGTATTGTTAAAATTTGAATGCCTTAGCACTAAGCTGAACGCAAAGATGCATAAAATTAATATTGACAAGGGTGCATATATTAAATATTGACTTATTAAGAAATTTAAAAATCTTTGTAAAGCGCACGATTTTCTGCTCTTGGGAATCTAAAACAGCGGTTTCTTTATGCATAAAATTTACTTACGTCAAGCTTTGATGCACGTGTTGGTTCAGCAGAGTGCTGAGGCATTCAAATTCTAACAATACATTTATTTCAATAGTTTTCGTTTTTTGGGGGACACCCTGTAGTTGGAATATACAGGGTGTCTAAAAACTAAAAGTGACCCTTTAGAATTCACCCTTCTGACAGTCAGTTGTTAAAAGCGCGTTATTATACAGCTGGGAATTTATACTCCTTGCTCTGTAGTCCATTGAACCATTTTTAATCACGATCTGACGGGTCTAATTTCTAAGTCGTTTTAACTTTAAAAAATTTTCATGTACAATTTATGCAGTTTTAACTAGCCTGCGAGCAGGCTCTCGAGGTGAAATGAGAGCCTGCACTGATGACATACAATTTTGAATATCTGCCCCGTAACATTCGTTTTTCCAAATATGGAATGTCTATCCTTGTATGGTGTTGTTTACAACTTTCGTGCAAACTAAATTTAGACCGTGCAAACTAAATTTAGACCGTACAGTTTATACTGTTTTTCAAAATAATAATATAAGATATTCAAGCAAACGTTTAAATGTTTTAAGTACTGTTTTCTCAAAACAGAACATTTCGTGCTTTGAGATAAGATGGCCAAGACCAATTTGATCAGTTAATGTGTTTTTTATGCATAGTCCTGCAGTCGTTTACATATACTATAGAGCTGAGCGGAAACATAAAAATTATAGCATCTGACCAATGAGAATTTCGCGTCCCGATTCGAGACGCAGATATTCAAAATTGTATGCCATCAGTGCAGGCTCTCCTTTCACCTTGAGAGCCTGCTCGCAGGCTAAGTTTTAACATGCAGAGGTAGTGAAGGTTGGGTGTTTACAACAAAAGGGTGATTTCTAATTAAAGGCTCACTTTTTTAGACACCCTGTACATAAGAACACAAATTTCATGTCATATTTCCGATGAATTGGTGGTTTGCAATCAATCCGTTGAGATTTATAAAGATATTGCGGCCATGTTGGATGAAAACACGCTCCAAATACATATTAGCTGCCAGTGATTGCCAATGATATTCTTTTGTTGGCGTCCCTCCAACATGGCCGCCGTGACGTCATGTGCAAACCAAGAATTTACGGTCAATATTGCTTACGCATACTGAAATATACAAATTAATAGATCAATAGGGGATGCGATTTTCATTTTCTGCTTCGGAACAATGAGACTCATTACAATATGTTCCACTGAATGTCTTTAAAGTCTATCACTGGAATTTTTTTCAAAATGCTTACTGTGGAAATAGTTTGAACACTTAGTTGGAAATAGTATGGAAATAGTATGGGAATTGGATTTCCATACTAATTGCCATTTTCGTAGTATGGAAATAGTGTGGATATACTATGGATTTAGTCACACAATGAGCATTTCCATAGAATGGATTTTCCCCCCAGTGTATTCAGTATCAAGGTTTGCTCAAAAAATATCTTTTAATGTCCGCATATGGATCATCATGAACTGTATTCAAGTTCTCTCGCAACTTGTGTTCGTCATTTCCTGTAGGACTGTACAATGCAATGACCAAAGTTTTCTTTTTATCTGGTGTATGTACAAAACCCATTCCGAGTTCTTTGCTGTTTTTCCAAATAATCTGTGTAAAGTCCCTCGTCTCTGGCTTGATGCTTGGACTTGTGAAACTGAATTTTGTGATTTCTGTATACCATTTCTCGACGGCTTGTTTGGCGATGTCTTTGGTTGAGTATGACAGGATTGCGATGTTTTCGCCTTGCTTTTCCAACTCTCGTTTGAAGTTGGTCCTCGTGGCGTCAAGTAGTTTACTTGCAAGGTTGTGAGCTTTCTTTGCCAATGAGTCGGACCAAGTTAAGGCCACTGCGTTGTGACGACGTCTGTATTCATTGTGCATCTTTAGCGCTTCTTCTTTGAATTCCTCTGCAAACACATTAGCGTAATTTTATATATCTTAGTATACACCTTGATAATAACTGAAGGTTGAGCTGGAAAGGCAATGCCCTAAAAGCTTCTTTTCAAAGGATGCTTTTCGCATGTAGTTGAGTTATTTGTTAGAAGAAGCGCCTAATTCATAAACGTGTCAATGCATCGAAAAGTAAAACGTAAAGATAAATATATATATTAATATGTCCCGCATTGCAGAACGAGGGAGGTTTGCAATAAGGATTGTTAAAGATTGGAATGGCAAGGATTTGAAATTAATATTGGAAAAGCTTTAAGTTTAAATAGTTTTTAGAAAAAGTTTTATCATTTTTGGATGTGCAAAAAATGTCATCGCTATGGGGCTTGTAATAATGCTTAGAGGTCGTTTATCACTAGACGGAATTGTCCGCGCGGAGCGGATTTCTTTTGGCGGAAAATTCCGCCTAGTGGAAAACGGCCTTAACAGAGGGCCACGATGTCATTGGTGTTATCCTATCTTAAGTAAATGCTAAACTAAGCTAAGAAATGTTTTCATTTACATTGGCGCCTTTTTAAGATCTACTGAGTGAAAGCTAAACGAAGGAACTTTTAAACTAAAACAACCTACCATAGTCAAAATCATCTTGTTTCTTCTTTATGTCTTTATTACTTTTTACTTCTTTTTCTTTCTGATCGTTCTCTTCGTGTTCTACACTCTGTCCGCCATCATGATCAGCATCGATGCCTTGTGCTCCATCATGGAATTGGTCATATTCTTCATCATAGTAATCTTCATTCGTTCCTTCATTTTGTTCGCTCGTTTCTTTCTGTTCTTTCTGGTTCCCTTTGTCTTGTTTTTCAACATCCATATCGTTTTCCAATTGTGAAACCCAATTGTCCACCTTGTCAGGCGCCTTGTTCGGTTGAGGAGACTCTCTTGTCACTTGTGGTTTGTCCTCCATTTTGCTGGATGAATCTGAGTTTGATGCTGCTTTTTGCGCTGTGTTAGATTTTTCTGATGAATCAGAACTGGGATTTCCTTAAATATAGATGGGTTATAAAATTATATATATATTTATAAAACTGAGATCTTTTAGGTCTATTTTACGTGGTTAAGGTGGGGGCAATTAGTACTTGCCTTCGTTTTGCATTTCTTTGGTCATTGCTAAAACATCGTGTTTTAGTTCCTTTGGATCCTTCTCCAAAAGTTTATCTAAGAAATCCAAAATGGCGTCGCCGGAAACCTGAGATTCGTCTGCGTGAACATGTTTGATGTGTTTCTCCGCTTTGTCTGGACTACTTGGTTCTGATTTGTGTTGGTTTATTTTTCCATTTTCCTGAATCTTGCGGTTGGGTTTCTCAGATGTTTTATTATTATGTTTCTTCAGTTCATCAAAATCTTTGAGGATTTCTCTGGAGAGATCATCTTTTAACTTTTCTTTCTTTTTTGTTAGATTTTTCTGTTTCTTTTTTGTTAGATTTTTCTCTTTCTTATTTGTTAGATTTTTCTCTTTCTTTTTTGTTAGATTTTTTTGTTTCTTTTTTCGAGCGAGTTGTTGCCGTAATTTCTCTTCCGAATCCCATAACGCCTCTTCCTCAGTTTTTTCCCTTAATTTTTTTTCTTCGCTCGGATGATCATCCATGCTATCAGACATGTGGTCAGTCACGTGATCGTGTATGTCATCAGTCATGTGACTAGCCTCGTGGTCAGTCACATGTTCCGACATGCGATCTTCCATTTCATCATTCGCGTTATCTGTCACGTGATCGTCCGTACTGTCAATCACTTTGTCACTCATACTTTCAGTAACGTGATCAGTCACGTGATCAGTCAGGTGTTCATTTTCGTTTCCAAGCTTATCATTCACGTTCATGTTCCCATCGTCGTTTTCTGAAACACTTTTATGCCCCTCATAATCCTCAGTTGTCACGGGGTTCTCAATCCCCGATTGTCCATCATCAACGGTGTTATCCCCATATTCACTCAATATATCCTCAATGCTTTGCGTCTTGTGTTGTCTTCTGTGAGACGGACGCCTGGTAATAGCATCTTCAAAATTATCTGTGTCGAAAGCATTCGAGTGGACATGAGGGCTTATTGTTGTGCTGGATGATTTCAAACTGTTCAATATATTTGCGTCCTCATCAAATGTGGCCAGGTTATCTTGACCACCTGCAGCCTCATCTGGTATTGGGTAATCATTGATATAGTCATTTTTCCCTTGATATTTATCCGAATGACCAAAATATACTGTCTCCGGCTGAGTACTGAGATTGTCTTCTAACTCTTTGTTCTTGCTGAAGTCTGACTTGGTTTCCTTACCGTACTCTGGGAATGTTCCCTTGTACTGTTTCTTGAGAAGGTTGACGAACTTCTCTTCTTGATCTCTAGGGCTCGCTAAATCTGGACTATCACCAATAGGCACGGTTTTGGAGTACGCCGTTGTTTCTGCTTCGATATTGTTGTCATAAGGGTCGTCGGTTTGTTCTACACGTAAAAGATGAAAATTAAACAAGATTGGACCTGTCACACCTATAAACGTTAACTCTGAATAGAATTAACCGGCTGTCCCGACCGTTCGCGACTAGGTTTCTACCGCGGGGCAATCCGGAAAGAATGTATAAAATGGCACTAACCTGCATTAAACGTGTCGCTATCTGGCGATGTGCTTTCCGCTATTTGCATCATATCTAAAAGCACAGAAATGTATTTTTTTGAAGAGACTTTATTTATTTAGCTGTTCTTCCTAGAGGTCCAGGAAGGCTACCCTTCTCTTAATAATCCATAGTAAAACTGCTTGAGGAAACCGGAGATACAATTTTCAAGATTCAGTTTTACGGAGTACCCAAAGTATTGTGTCGTTTATACGCAATGAAGGCAAAATTATATAATCACGTGATACCTGCATGAAAGGCCTTTATATCACCTGAGTCACAAAGGTACTTGAATCAACGGACAATTTTGATGTCATCAAATGGCCTGGTGTCCCGTCTTTCAGTCAACGCTGTACAAGTCTTGGGTTTTCTTCAGGTTCTCCAGTTTTCTACCACAGGAATGTTGACAGTGTGGGTTTGGAAAAGTCCCAAATTAACTCTTCCATCATACGTAGCAAAGCTCTGTGATTAGACACGAGTCGTACGGTGGTAGCCAGAGGCGCCCAGCTAGTAAACCTTTGATTCAATCAGCTAAAGATGCGAGTTCCCAGCATAGCTCTCAACTGCAGGTAAGGGTTATCAACCCCTCGCCACGGTACCAACTTGCTTACTTACCAAAAGACTTAACACTTAAGTGTTATCCTATTATACAATTGTATGATTAAGGGCCAAGGCGTTTTACAGTAATATCTTTATACATGTTTTGGGCTGTATAGGTACCTTTTGAAATGATATCTCCAATGTTTGTAAAGTGAAATTGCTTCCCACTCTTCTCTCTCAATGGTCTTGGTTTGGCTGTAAGACATGTCCAAATCTCTTATGAGTACTTGAAACGTAATCGTTTGTCACACTGCTTTTTGTCTGTCTGTCTATGTATAGTAGCACTTTTGATATCTCAGATGATGAGGTAGTCACAGTTAACGTATCTGATTTATATTCCTACATGCATTGTCTGATTGTCCTTAACTTCCTTATCATTTGAAGTTTTTGCGTATACTGTATCCGTATGTTCTCCTGTTCAGTAGTTCAGTTTGGCGTCTTCGGTATGTCTTTGGTTTTGTACTGTATGTTGCATTGTCTTTATCTATTGAAAACACGAGAACGAATATTCACGAGAAAAGCACAACCTTTCAGTTTCAACATAACCTTGACTGCATGTTTAAAGTTTGTAAGTTCACCACACAACCATAATGTCCCTTAATCTTACCATCTAACGACAGAGCCAGAAACAGGAATATGATACCAATAACTTTTGCCCCTTCAAACATTTTCTTGAGAGGATGTGCTTCACTAAAATTAAAGGGGAAGATAACATAAAATGATTGCCGTGCAGATAAAGGCCTTTACCGAAGGGGCCTTTGCTGAAACGTCTACAGAAATTTATTTCTCTCTTAAATTGGTAGCTGTCATGAAATTAACAACGGTTTTAAGCCACTGGCAAGGTAATTTTATGATGATTGATACGTTTTCATTGTTTTGACATCGCCACAAGGTTGGCTTATGCTAGCCCTAGATCAACGATTGCAATGGGCCCAGGTTTTCTAACCTATAGGTGAGGCATAGACTAGGCCAAAGGTTGTTTACATGACAACACAAAAATATACGCCAAAGCCAAGGCAAACAAGGCCAAGCCAAGCCCAAGGTTCGCAGTATAAACATGGTTTTTATTGTATTCTGCAGTCAACGATGGACGCAGTTACATTACTACTTAACTAATATTTTAATTTTAAACAAATATAACTATATAGAAATTAAAGATTCGTTTAAACGTTTTGTGGCTTTTGAGTTTTGTTCCGTAGTATATAAAAGGCAGTGCTATAATATGGTTATATGGATATTGACTATGGTATTGTAAGCGTGTTCCTTTTAATATGTGTGGTCAAATTAGAACTAATTAAGCAACTTTCAGCAAGTGTTTAAACCTGTTTATAAAAGCAGGGAGCCTGAAGTAAAGAAAGGGTTATAAATTATACCTTCATATAATATTGAGAACGGACTACTACTAATCATTTGTGATTGTATCGATAGAAAAGTACTTTTTACCCCTAGCTATTTTAACGTTTGAGATAATGATAGCATATATATAATATAAACAACCTTATGTACCTGTTGTTTTAATCTTTCGTCTTCGTGTAGTTTAACGTAAAAAAGACGCTTATAAGTGAATAACAGAATCCATCCAGCCATGTTTGAAAAAGAAAATCATTTCTCTGATAGTTTGTACTTCATTTTGTCTCTACCATCGTAAATATTTGGCGTTTCCAAAGCGTTGTTTACCTCAATAACGTCATGTTCAGTGCTTTAGTCAACTTTGACTTTGTCTGTGGGAATTGCAGGTTGCTAGTCAAAATTACTCAACCGAAAAAACGGCTTATAAACTTTGAATACCTTGGCTTGGAAACTTTCCCGTTCGAGGACGCTCCATCCTCTGCAAGCAAATTACAGTTATCTCCGCAAATAAATTACTACACAGGAAAAGGCTAAAGAAAAATGTTTTTGACTATGTACTTTACTCTTCCTGGCAGAGCACTTACATTTTTGCTTAAACGTTAAGTCTTTGATATACGTCCTGTATATCAAAAGGATATTAGCCCTTCTTAGCTTCAGTCCCTGAAGAGGTCGACCGCTCCGACACGTTGACGATATTCTCTAGCTACTGTTCATCTCCTATTGGATGTCTCCATGACCATGCTAACTTGTTAGGTCTTCCTGCTATCTTCAACTATTAAACGTCTCCGCCGAATCATCGCATTCTCGCTTTCTCTTGGTGATGTAAAGAGCTACTTTTTGACTATATCCTCAACTCTTTCCTGGCTGAGGACTTCCTACAGATGGACTATACAAAATGCAAAAGGAAAGAAGTAAAGAGATCTACTTTTCTTTTTCTGTTTTAGGCCCTGATGTGGCCAACCTCTTCTGGCACGTTGATGTCAGTTCACTCTATCCTGCAGGACATCCGGTCAGTGTTACTGACTTTATTTCTCTTTTCACAGTATATCTCCGTCTCTCAACTGTTCGTCGTCCTTCTGTTGAATGTCTGTATACTAACTTGACTGAATCTTCCTCTATCCCTCTATCGTGGACATCTTCCTCTCTTAGATTTCATACCTTCAATTCTCTTTTCTCCATCTGTCTCCCCTGCTGTTTCCCAACTACATGTTGTTCCTTCTATTGAATGTCTTTATTTGTCTCTATACTAACCTGACTGAATCTTCCTCTATTCTCTATCTATCCTGGACATCTTTCTCTCTTAGATTTAATACCTTCAGTTCTCTTTACTCTGTCTCCCCTGCTGTCTCCCAACTGCATGTTGTTCCTTATATTGAATGTCTTTATTTGTCTCTATACTAACCTGACTGAATCTCCCTCTATACTCTATCCTGGACATCTTCCTCTCTTAGATTTAATACCTTCAGTTCTCTTTTCTCCATCTGTCTCCCCTACTGTCTCTCAACTGCATGTTGTTCCTTCTATTGAATGCCTTTATCTATACTAACCTGACTGAATCTTCCTCTGCACTCTATCCTGGACATCTTCTTATAGATTTTGTACTTTCAAGTCTCTTTTCACAATTATATCTCTCCACATCTCTTTCATGACAAGGGAGTTAGATTTTCTTCTGACAGATTATACAATCCAAAGTCAATTGTAGCCCTTACATTCTCTTAAGCCCACAAGAAACTTTCCTCTGTACTTTATCCTCCTTATGTCTTCAGGAATTTTAATAAAATCGCGTACAGGTGTACTGACGCTTAAGACCTGTTTACACTTGCAATTTTTGCAATCTTGCCTTTTGCGTGCTTTATGCGAATCTCTTTATTTATTGCAGAAATATATATCTTTATTACATCTGCAACATTGACATGGTCACAACCGAACGACCAACATGAATCCAGGCTGATTGGAGTCAAAAGGCTGTCTTTCAATAACATTAATAAAAAAAAAACGAAATCGTTTATTTTACTACACGTAAGCCATTAGAAATCGACGATTACATATCTTCTATAGAAACACCCAAAGCTAATATACTTTCAACCTATTCTTGTTTCCTAGGCTTCACTCGCTTTGTCAAATTGAGAAAGAGTATAATAGGATGAGAAAGTTCCAAACAGGAATTTTAAAATCCTGAGGAAACCGTCACAAAGTATGTACAACCCCGGGGCGGAGGATCAACACAAGCTTGAGGGAGGAATTTCGTACGCATTCAAATGTGATTTATGTGAAGAGGATATTTCGTACCGCCTCAATCTGTCGTTGGAATATTTCGTGCCCTATATTCTCCGCCCCAGGTTGTACATACTTTAATTACCAATTCGGTCTCAAACAGGACAAAGGCATATGGTGAATTACGAAACTGATAGTCGTGCCCAACTTGGCTTACAACAATGGCCTACAACTGGCAGTTGCGCCCAGTCAAACGAGAACAAGAGTTGCATGAGAGTTGACTGGACATTACTACGCGTAGCAGTCAAACGACCCAAAGCTCTCATAAAAATTAGAACCGATGGATGATGAGAGTGCACATAGGCGTACGAGACAGGGAGCAGAGGACAACTTTATTACAATCCTCCGTAAAAATTGGGGCAAACTTCAGCTGCCCCCTCCTCAACCCCGTACGCTTATGAGAATGTATGAAAGTCGGTAAAACGCGACCGAGAGTTTCAACTCTTATCACTTTCATTCTCGTTTGACCGGAGCTTTACTTCATCTACCTAGTGATTAGCCTGCGAACAGGCTCTCTTTGAACAAAGAGCCTGTTCGCAGGCTACCTAGTGATAGGCTACTCATGTCGGGCAGCAAAACTTTTCTTAAAAATACTCGCATACACATCAGTATGCCGTTCACCGTCTGAAACTAAATTCTCTCTCAAAGTGGCTTGATCATTTCCTTTGGGACTATACAATGCTACTACATAAAGTTCCCCAGTGTCGTCGTCTTTGGCTGCACCCATACCTAAAGTCTGCGTCCCTTTCCAAATGATTTGCGTAAACGCTTTTGTTTGCTCGTCAATGACCGGATCGGTAAATGTGAATTTCTGCTTTTCATTATACCAATGTCTAGTCGCTTCCTCCCCGGCGTTTTCTAAGGCCGTGTTCGGTATCTTGCCAACGTTTTCGCCATAGCCTTTTTTCTCGACAAGTTCAGAGCGTCTTGCATTGCCTTTCTTTGCAGCTTGGTAAGCAAGTTTCTCCGCAGCGGACGCCAAATCTTCAGACCATTTCAAAGGCTGTGCGTGATGCAATCTTCTGTAATCATTGTGGCTGCGTAGTCCCCTTTCTGCAAACATCTTCAGTTCTAAACAAATGAAATTACTTTGGAACCACTTTCTGGCTCGAATATATAGCCTGCGTAGCAGTCGCTTTATTTTTTGAAGGTTTTGGGAATATCTCAATATTGAGGATTTTTTTAATAAATGGCGGGATAGAAAAAAAACCTCAACACCTTCAAAAAATAAAGCGACTGCTACGCAGGCTAGCTCGATTTGCCATATTAACAATCACATAAATTTATATACAGGGGCGTCGGTGGTACAGTCTTCAGGACAAGCGACTTTCACCTCTGAGATCTTGGGTTCGATTGTCGTTGCGGACTTATGACATTTATTTGAAAAGAGTCGGTAACAATGCTCTACCGGATGTCGTGGTTTTCTCTGGGTATACTCCGGTTTCTTCTCACAAGGAATGTTGACAGGATGGGTTGGAATAAATCCCAAACTAACTCTTCTGTTCTCCGTGATCAGACATGAGTTATACGGTGCCAGCCATCAACTACTGTTCAGTAAGACTCGCCTGACTGACACTTCTATAATACAGCTGGGGCGAGACTTTTTTTATTCATTGGTTTACGGATCTGCCGACCGTAAATATTCAGAAAGTGAAAAAAAATAATAAATTTGGATGTCAAAACTTTTACAATTTTAGTTAATTTTAATTAATTTGGGGTTCTTACATGAAGTACACTTCAAGTGAACTTTGACTCTAGGTACTGCTGGCTCATGTTATCGTTGTGACAATCAATATGTAGATTATAGCCACGTTTTTTGCGTGTTTTTTTTTTTAATTGACGTTAAAAAATTTGATAAAGATTACTAATTTCGGCTCTCATTTATACTCAGTTCGTTTTTTTTAAAATTTTTTTCCGACCTACCGACCTCTTATTTTTAAAGTCAAATCCGTAAACCAATAAATAAAAAAAGTCTCGCCTGGTGACCTTTCTTTCTATTACCGACACTTTGTTTTGTGGTTCGTGTAGTGCCGCGGCTCGACTGCAATACACAGACGAATTATCAGGCGAGCTTTCGTTGATAGGGATGCAACTGCCTGAAAAATACAAAGCGAAGGCCCTTCTTCGAAGAAGTTTCGAGCGAAGGCCCTTCATTGGGCCGTTACTAACATCCCTTGTTATTATTGGCATTACCTACACTGGCACAGGCAAACAATATTTTCTTTGCCAAAGACAAGTGTATATCGGGCCACCCGCATTTAAGGAAGGAAAAACAGGGCCTGATACTCAGGCTAATAGGCTGAAGGTAAGTGTACTGACTTACGTTCACTTATTCGAGTCATGGAATTTTGCGGGTTTGTATTGTCCTGTACAACTGGTGCTGGCGATACTTTAGGGGACGCTGGAGGAACTGTAGGGGTTGGTTTTTGCAAGGCCTCCGGTGGCATGGCTGTTGCTAGTGTGAGGGTGTCCGCAGTTCCAGTGTAGGGAGATATTGTCTTTTCCTCAGGCTTTTGTGAGGATAGGCCCAATAACTGGCCAAGCTGACGTAGAGCATCAAGTGAAACGACCGCGCCACCTTAAATTAAATAAAATTACTCCTGTAAATTTTTCATTAAAACTTGGGCAAGCATGTACGTATATTAGTTATGGTTTCTAAAATATTCCAATTTGTTTGATTGCACATGAATGAATAGCTTGAACTCGAGGCTGAAAACTATATGATCCTCTTTATGTCATAGCCTCTGCCTCATACCATTGTTTCATGTTCACTCAAATTTGAGAAGTGTCAGTTGTTACTGTACGTACCTGCAGTATTTGTGCCACCGACTACATCTTTACTTGATGCATCCTCTTCCTTTGTCTTCACAGGAAGCAACTCGATTTTACGATGTCGTGGTCTTATATCAGCCCTCTCTTTCTCATGCCTTGACACATGATGGAAAGAGTGTGTTTGTGCGCTTGTCTCTAGTGCCTTCAGTAAATTCTTCACGCTGTTTTCATAGTTGGTTGTGTCAGTTTTGACAGCATTCACTTCTTGGACCGGTTCACTTTTCAAAGTCTTCGAAGCGATTCTCCTTGAAGCTGTAAGCGACTTGGCTTCGTAACTTTGTTGAGATGTCGCAGGTAGCTTATAGTGTTTTGTTTGAATGACTGATTCTTTTTCACCGCCGTTCTGTTTGCTTACTAACTCTGCGAGGTGTTTAACTTGATCTTGTATCTTTGTTATCAATTTTTTGCTGCTTTTCTTTGTGTGAGATCCTTTCTTTCTGTGGTGTGATTTGCTTGTATTTTCGTGTATCTTTCCTGTATGATCATGTTGCGAGCTATCAGCGTCACTGTTATCTTCGGTTGCAGCAGGATCAGTTAACATTCCTAGCTCATCTTTTGGTTGCTTTGAAGGAACTTTTAACAAAACCCAAGACTTTTTGTCTCCTGTTGTTTCCTTGGCTTTGCTCTCTTCCATCAACGACAACAATCTTTCAAGATTACTTTCGCTTCCACTGAAACTCTTTTCCTTATCTTGGCTCGTGGTATCGCCCCCTAAACTATCCTTTACTGATTTCGTTTCACCATTTTCTGTTGTTTTCTCACCATTTAAAGGTTGGAGACTTTTAACCAGCTTAAAAATATTCATACTCAATCTTCCAATTCCACCAGACCCTTTTGACTTTATTTTCTTGTCTTCCTTCAAACTTTTTCTCTCGGCTGTTTGAGAATTATTAGGTGCCCACGAAGTGATTTTAGGTCGTGGCTCTTTCGCTCTTAAACTAGCCTGAGTGTCCTCACTTTTCACGTCTTTCATGACCATTTTAGCATCTTTCCCGAAAATCAATTTAAGAACTGCAACACCCAGAGCGGTTGCATCAATCGCTTTGTTCATGAAAATATCGGATTTTCTCGCGGCATTTTCATTTGCTTGATTCAACAAAACATTTCCAAATTGACGAGGGTTGATTTTTACCTGAAGAGACTTTTCCACATCGGCTGTTGTGATAATAGATTTTTTCTGTCCAGTTTGTGTGGTGGTAGTCTTGGCCAGTGTTTGAACACTCCCGCTGAATAAAGTTTTGACTTTGTTGAGGACTCGAGAATCAAAGATCGTTGACCGCATCGCGAGATTTTTATGGTCTTTTGAGTGTGCTGTGTCATGATCACATGCCTTACAAAGTACATCTGAAAAAGAAAAAGACTATAGGTTTAAAGGTGGGCTCGCTGAGCTCGATCGTGCTGCAGATGGCGGATATGCTCATGAGTATACCGGATTTAAAATATATATGACCAAGCTCATGAGTGTACTTGCTGTAATATTTCAAATCCGACTATGAGGGCTGGACTAGACTAGATCAAAATGCGAGACTTGAAATCTAGTCCAGTCCGAATTGGAGGATTGAAATGACATCTCATAATTATACGAATATATCTATCAGATATGAGCATGCTCACGAGTATACTGGATTTTGGTATTAATATATTATGGGCATGCTCATGAATATCGGATTTTGGTAGATATATGAGCAGCTCTTGAGTATACTGGATTTTAGTATATATGAGTAAGCTGTCCCGTAATGCTTGGCCAGACCTCCTGAAATAGAGAACGAAGAGTGACATAACCCTTTCTAAAATTTATGATTTTCTCATTTATGATCTCTTAGTTTAAACGTCAAAGGATTAATTCAATTAGCCTTTTCCCAATAGAGATCACAGTGCATTCTGGGATAGTTTGGAGGGACAAAATATATGGTGATAGGCGTCAAATATCTACTATCAAAATCAACTTTTTAGACGACCAAAAATGAAATATCTATTTTTTACATTAAACATTTAATTTAAACGTGTGCTGCCGTATTTCTTGTCCCTCCAACATTGGATTTGCACGACTAGACCCAGGACTTTGGGAAATAGCTAATTAGAAACCAATGATACTGGGATGGAATTTGTGGTCGAAGGGTTTGAAAGCCCACTGTCGCCTTGTTGCTATTAGACTGTATTTCTTCGTTTTCTGATAAAAATTTGTAAACAACTAATTGCCTCGGTTTACACCCTACAAAACTGGCGTTCGCACCGGGATAACTCATAACTATGACGGTTTTAATAAGTCTTTATAGATATATAAATATCAATTATATCATGATTACATACGCAAACAAATTGTCAGACGAAATGGTCTGGAAGGTCATCAATCCTTATTCTTCACGAGTGTCCTGCAGGCTATGTGTCTAATTCTTACCTTGAAACTGAAAAATGATGACAATCAACTGAAGAAGAAGGACAATAGATTTCGACATCATTTTGTCTTTTTTTGAGCTCATTTTCTCCTTTCATCTGTAAAAAATGGACTATTATGATAAATTGAAGACTGGCCTTAGCTAGAAGAAACCAATAATAATTTTGATCAAATTTCTTCAAAGTATGACATCTCAGACGTAGGAGATCTTTGTAGGTATCAATCGCATTGTTATTTCACTGTTATTGCGCTGTTATTTTAGTTGGAACTACCTGAAAAAGATCGAGAGCCATTGGCATTGAGACTAAAACTTTAACATTTCTTGCATGCAGAGGCCTGACCTCTGGAAGTTTGTTAGAACTGCCTGAAAGGGATTAAATAATCTTTATCTTTTCAGGTAGTTCCAACCAAAACCACTACGTTTTGTTAGTTAAGAATCCCATCTTTAAAAAAATAAAAACTCTAAGACGTGAAATTCTAGCTCTATTTTTATCCACTTTACCTGTTACAATAATTATCTGTTTCTACGGACGTTGTTATCGGTATTCCACATTTCTTTGAAACTTTATCGTGAGATAAATTATAATAAAATGCAAGAATATTGGCGGTGTTTTAGGACTGAACGCTTCAACAAACATAGCGAAATAGTTTTGGCTGGTATTGAGTACGCTTGGCTGACCACGCGAGCCGCTGTTGGGCGCCAGAGCTTAGAGATGTTATCACGACACCGGATGAATTCAGGACCGTACGTCTGTCAAGGCCGATTTACACTACACAACTTTTGTCTAAAACTGTCGCATGCAACCTGCTTACAACTTGAGTTGTACTGTTTAAATCAAGCACGCAACTCGCTTACGTTGTCGTAGGGGAGTTGTGTGCTTCATTTACACAGTACAACTCAAGTTCAGTGCCGGCGCCAGGGAGGGGCAAGGGGGGGGAGCAAATGCCCCCAAAGGTATGGTATGCAGACCAAATAGCTAAAATTGCTAAGTGGTCCCGAATATTTGAAAAACAATGAATGAGTGAAAACTGAAAATTCGCGTCGCGTTAGGTTGCATGCGACAGTTTTAGGCAAAAGTTGTGTTATGACAATGTAAATCGGCCTTTAAATGAGATCGGGCGAGACAGGGGCCACCGAGCATTTTACGATTGGGAGGGGGCTGGTGTCAAGATGAAGTAAGGGACCCCCTAGACCCTTCCTAGGAGGGGTCTGGGGGCATGCCCCACAAGAAAATTTTCAAAATGACGAGCCCAGCAAGGGCATTACCAGCTATTTCCCACAATAATTTTGTTTAATTTTTAAAGTAACCATGTGTATAGTTGAAGGTTAATGTTAGGGTAAGGTTTAGGGTTAGGGGACTTAGGGCTCTGGGGTTAGGGTAAGATTGCCCCGTGAATATTAATGAGCGAGCAGCTCGTCTTTCGTCACAAAATGGCCCAAATTATCCATAAATGACCCTCAAGTTTGAGATCAATAAAAATGGCTGACGTGAAGACGCTTGAATACTCAACTTTGAAGGTAAATATTTTGTTTTTTTATCACTTGACACATCGTAAAATGTTTAAAATACATTAGATCGTATGTGTTATTTGTTATTTCTGTTAAGAAGTTACCGAGAACGCTGAATTATACATTAGAAACAGAATGTTTTGGCTTGCCTTGTTCATAATTTCTGTTGACTGCAGCCAGGCAGGCATATTTCGATATAATTATGTTTTCTTTACAATGATAGCACAATGAGAAAGGAACTTTGGCCTGCCGGAAAAATGTGTAAAACAAGGAAAGGGCCCTGGGGACCCAGTCCCCCCCCCCCAACTCCTTCCCTCTGTTGGAATTTTAGTGTTTGGGATTGCTTTTTATTTTAAATCTTCAAAACTCAATAACATGAAAAATGCAGAAAGTGTCACCTCAGAGACTCTAGATTTTTAAATTTTCTCTGGACATTCCTTTATGCCAAAATCATGGATTTTTCCTCTTGCCCGAAAAAATGTTCGCATTCCTGAATGTTTTGACATGAAAACATCACACATTTTTGGAAGCTGGTCAACTCGGCCCACTGACCAACTCGGCCCATACTATCTTGGCCAATTGTTAACTACAGTTTGACATATTAGGAAAGCTAATATTTTACAAAAGATAGCACTAAACCAATTCAGCCATTTGCAGTTGCATTGGGCGTACAGATGAGTAAAGTTTGGTAACATCCAGTTTGACTTAAATAATTAAAGAATCTATTGAAGTTTCAAATTCTCGGTTTGTCCGTTTTGATACTAAATTACTGATCATTCAAATCTATCTCAAAATTTGCAAAGATAGAACACAGTCATGGCTCCTAGCTTGTTTAATGGTTAGATTAGTCAGTTTACAAGCGGGCGGAGTTGGTACTTGAACGGTGGGCCGAGTTGGTTAGTGGGCCGAGTTGACTGTAATCCCACATTTTTTTGGGCAAGAGGATCGATGCACCCATCGTTTTGGTAATACAGATTAATTGTACTCAGGTAGTGCCAATAATAAGAAAGCTTTGGATTGATAGGATGCAACTACCTAAAAAATGCAAGGAGAACTTCGACGTTTTGAGCGAGGGCCCTAGCTTTGTCGTCAACTAAGGACCTTCATTCGAAACGCGGAAGCTAGTTCTCCTTGTAGTTTTCAGGTAGCTGCATCCCTAGAGTACAAGTACCTAGCATGTTTAGCCATACTACAGTCAAATTAACTGCAAGGTAAAAGTGCTTTTATACCTCTCTTTTACTCCGTTTTTCTTTCGGCCTCCCTTGAGTGGAAAATCTGTTTATGTCATTCTATATGTTGATCATGCAGTTGAGCATTTGATGGAACTCCAAATACTGCAGGGCTCGAAATAGTGTGCTACCAATGGCCAAAAGCAGGCCATACTTTAGAAATGGCAGGCAAAAACAAATTTGAACTGCCAAGTAAAAAAAAATGGCAGGTGAAATTCTATAGATTTATTTCATTTGTTTACCACAACTCATATATACTAGATAATTTAGTTGACTAAATACAGTACGTTTATATTTGAAATGTACTGTAAATCCAAGTTTACTGTAGTGATTAAGGTGGCTCCCTAGGGTTTTTTAATTTACTACACTATAGTATTCAGGAGACTCCTGTTTCTTTACTTTACATGATATGAAGACAAAATTTATTGGACACATTGACAATGTTCTCCTGAACATTGCAAATTGCTATTTTGTGTTAAAAATATGTTGTCATGGCAACAGCATGCTTAGAATAAAGCTCAAAATTTGTCTTTTTCAGGTCTTTTTAAAAAGTTCCTTCGGTGAAATTTTTTAAAACTTTGCATAGAAGATAATACTTGTATAATGATTTTTTCCCCTCAATTTAAAAAAATTAAATCGATACGTTTCTTAGAAAATTTAAAAAACGTCAAAAATCAATATTAAAAATTTTTCCTTCGATTTAATTTTAAGAAAAAAGGATATTGCACTTGTTGTACCGATATTAAAAAATGTGCAAAGTTTTAAAAAATTTTACCGAAGGAAAACGGAGAAATTTGGGGTTAATTTTGGCAATTTTTACTAGATTTTTACGTGAACAATTTAATACCCCAACTGACGTGTACATGCATTCTGCATAAAACAACAAGGCATGACTTTTTTGAAATCACAAAATATAAATTATGTTCGATATACTGTTTATAACTGTGTCGGTTAATGATCAACTAAGCGTGGATTATACATGTAAAAATGGCAAAGATATTTAGGTAATTACTGGTTATGACTTCTTGGTATTAATTTGAAAAATGATTGTCAAAATTCGTCCCGTGCGAGTTAGTACTATCGTCGGATGTTTTCGCAAAATTCCCGTTCGAATTTCATATTTAGTTTACATATATACGAAGAACGTAACCCCCGGAAATAAAACCCTAGGGAGCCACCTTCAAATAGACAAGTTTAAAAATAATAAAAATGCATATCATAAAAACAATGATCTTTACAATATGACTCATATAAGACAATGCCATTTTGGTAGTTCAATGAATAAAAATGGCAGGCTAAAATTTCACATGACAAAAACTTTTAGACCGGCAGGCCGTATTTTTTCTGGTTACTATACTAGTACTAGGGGTGCACCGGACTCAGTTCCGGCCGGAACTAATAAAAAAACCATTGCCGGAACCGGAACTTTGAACATTGTTTTCAGAGAGATAGAATATCAAGTTTATTTATTGAATAGCATAGGAAGAAATTTGGGCTACACATGAAAAATGTTTTAACATTAGTCAATCTTTTTATTCTAACATTTGCATGCTCTCTCCTTGATGACTGAAAGTGTCTGACTGCTGTCGATAAAATAACATATGACCATATATCACTTAACGAATAACGTTCCACATCCGGTTCCGGCCGGAACTTAAAGAGTTGGTACCGGTGCACCCCTATAAGGTCCAGTACTATAGTTTTGTATTAGTAAACTGAGTTAAAAATTCTGTGTTTCTTCCAGGTTCCTTATGAAGTTTTGAATAAAAAGTTTAGAACTGCACAAAAAATTATTGATCGTGAGGTGTCTCATGTTTTGGCAGCAAATTCAGATTTATCAAATGTTGTTAAGAAGCAGTCAGTAAAGGTCTCTGATATGACAGGTATACTTGATGGTGTCATTGAAAAACTGCAGGTCTTGAAGCGTAAGGTAATTTTGACATCACTTATCCATTGAAACAATCAACATAGTGGCAGATGCTTCCCAGTGTGGAAAGTCGGTATTGCACAACTAATATACACACAGTTTTTAAATCTTGGGTGCCCAATTTCCAAACTTTCCAGTCAGATAAGCTTCAAACACCCTTCTATTTTTAATATATTTCTCCCATTAGGCTGCAATGTTCTTTAATTTGTTCCTTGAATACTGTATGTTTATCTAACAGTTGATGGTTTTACCCAGTCAAGCACAACATTGTTTGACCCATTGAGTGACGCAGCACTCTCTCCTTGATGAGTAAAATCATCTGGCGTTAGACATAACAGAGTAAAATAATAAAGTGGGGTGCATCATAAGTTGCATTGCACTCCAATACGCCCTACTTCATTATTTTACTCTGTCTAATGTCAGACAATTCTACTTGTCAAGGGACTAATAAGACTAACACATTAAGTGCCCCAATTCACCTGACGTTATTATTTTACTCTGTCTAATGCCAGACGATTTTACTCGTCAAGGGGAGAGGACTGGCGCTCAATGTGTGAGCAAAAAAATCTGCGATGGTTTTGCTTATTATTGAATTTATGTGGGATTGAAACAACCATAAAGTTGAAAATAATTTCATTCTAATTATCTAGGCTGAAGAATGTGTAGTTGCTGAAGAGAAGTGTACCAAACATCTTCATGTCCGTCTTGAGCATCTTAAAGAACATGCAGATGAACGCAAGAGTTCCATGCTTGTATGGAAGAAGAAACGGCTTGACAGAATGCTGGTTGATCATCTCTTAAGAGCTGGATATTACGAGACTGCTGGTAGACTGGCTGCAGATGCACAGATTGAGGTGATTAGCTGACTAAGAATTTCTGTTTGCTCAATGAAAAATTTAGGCCAAACTATCCCATCTTAGAATGCAAAGAAAATGACATCTCTAAAACTGTGTTATTTCAACCCCATGCCCTGCAGGTTCTGAAGCATGGAACATCTGATAACCTATTTGTTAAGCAAATTTCAGAGGTTTGCATTATGTTTGGTTTTAGTATACAGAAACAAGAAGGAAGTGCATGTTATTTATCCATGACCGGATACTGATGTGCCGATGCTATTTGTGTGGCACATCTATTTTCTTGGTTCTGCCAGCATGCTAAAATGACATCAAGTAAATTTCGCGAATTTTCAAGCAAATCCTTGTCAATGGGAAATCTCCGCAGCTTAATGGGTTAAGGCACTCACCTTGTGTGGGCTAGCTTTTTAGATCAACCAACAGATGGCCCGACCAGTTAGAGTTAGGGGTTAGAAAAGGGGCGGGCAAGGAGTTAGGCGCGGGCAAGGTTCCCATTTTATTGTGTGAAACAACTGCTTGCCATTTAAATGAACCAATCAAATTAATTCACTTACAAAAAGCTAAACCTTGTTGGTTTCAGTGACCAGACAAAAAACACTTACTGTATGAAACAAAAAACAGCTGTGTGTGCAACTTACTGTAATCCCCTATATTTGACAAAGTGTCTACTTTTCGTACTCAAATGTAGTCAGTACAAACTGACTGATAACTCATTTTTCATGTATATAGGAACTGGTGGATGTAGATCTGTTTGTGACAGCAAATAGGGTAGAGAAGGCTCTAGAAGACCACAATGCTGCTCCATGTTTGACATGGTGTCATGAACACAAATCCCGATTGAGAAAGCTAAAGGTATCCAACTTATTAATTCTGGTAGAAATATCACATTCAATACTTTTTCCAAAGGTTAGAATGAAGTTCAATTTTTGTGATTATGTTGTCCCATATGTAAGAAAAATGCTTCCAGTCTAAAAAAGTCTGCAGATTTTTGTGTCTTCAGTTTTGCTCTTTGGACCTCCATGGAGAACATTTTAGAGCTTTGAGTGATACAATTTGGTTTAATTATTTTATTTATACTAGTTTTGTCCTGTTGAGCACTGGATGGAGAATAGGAAATTTGTAGCTCTTACTGAACTAATGGGGAACATTTTAGACAGAACTAATAGAGTATCCAATATAAATAGAATTAGTTTATTTTAGATTTCCTGTCATAGTAACACTTGCCCAATACCAGGAGGCCTTTACTCGATCTCTAGGAAGAACAGTTCCCATAGAACTAACAGAGCAATCCAAAATAACTAATAAAAGTTTATTTTAATGTGACTAGTTTTTTTTGTTTAGAGTACGCTTGAATTCAATGTGAGAACTCAAGAATTTATAGAATTTATTAGAGCAAATGAACGGCAAGAGGCTGTAAGGTGATTTTCTCTTGTTTTATGCATATATCATTCACATTCATAGGTATAGTTCTAATATGCTAAGTTCAGTTGCAGTGGCCAGCACTTCCCCCTTGAGCACCCTGAGAAATTAGCCATGCGAAGTACATTATTAAAAGAGTACTGTATAGTACCTGGTTAAGATCATTCTTTTAAATTTACTAAAATACTGTATGTACTGGTCAAGGTTTATGAGTTAACTTGCTTTTCAATTCACGAGGTATATTTCTTGTTTTCTAGATATGCTCGTAAACATTTTGGCAGTGTGGATGTGGTACCACCTGAGGAGTTACGGAAGATCATGGCATTGTTGGCATTCACTCCTGAGACTGTTTGTGATAGGTATAAGGTAAGGCTAAGGAGACTTTCTTTGTTGTTTAATCTTTGAAAATACCTGTCACGTATGGGAAGAACTAAATTCTGAGAAGATTTCATCACTTAGCCCGGCACTTTTCTTAACTGTTTTAAGTAAAAAAGTCCATATCCGTACTACATATACCACAGTATATCTAAACATTACGTTTATCTTCAAAGGCTAGATATTTCCGATACACTAAGTTTAATTTTCTTTCTAGGATTTATTTAACGTAAACAGATGGGATGATCTTGCAAAACAGTTCAAGCGAGATAACTTTGCCTTACATCATCTGAGTTCCGAGTCAACTTTGTCAGTCACATTACAGACTGGTCTGTCTGCTCTAAAAACTCCGTATCCTTTGAAATAAAAACAACAAAGTTTAAATTATTGGAATATTGACAAAGCTGCTGTTTGAAGGATATACGGTACAACTACCTGAAAATATATAAGCAAAACATCGACGTTTCGATCGAGCAAAGGCCCTTCGTCTGGATGTTAGTACTAGGGAGGTTCAGATTTGACTTCCACTCATAGATATCTTATATACACTAGATAGTGCATCTAATTATTCTGCAATTCAAAAATTGAAGCCGTGATTGCAGACTCAGGATATTCCCATGAAATGAGAAAATTCTTATGTTTTCTATTTCTTAAACAGGGAACTTAAACATTAAGTTAAACCTATTCCAAATACATTTTTAAACTATTGAAATGATGAAAGTTATTGTTGTTTTTTAAGCGTTTATTAGCGAGTGGGAACTACCAACATGGCCGCCATCTATTCAAATGGGGGTAACCGCCGGAATATTCTTGGCTTCAATTTTACTAAAAGAGATGCGCTATCTAGTGTATATAAGATATCTTCTTCCACTACCTCGAACTGGCTTCGTACGCATCTGATTGGTTAACCGAATTTATGATATAGCATTTGTAAATTTCAGTGTAGGTCTAATGATAGTTGAATGAGGGTGGAGAATATTGGACAACGTTACTGCCAGCTGTTCCACAGTGGAAAAGCTGAAAACCCACCTAGTCCAGCCGCTTAGTCAAAGTTGAAAAACCACTTAGTCAAAAGTTAAGTGCATGAATGCGACTTAGTGATATTTCGGAACTTAGTCTAATAATTCCTTAACTACCACTTAGGCATTGTGGTATAGAAGGTCACACGAGTAGCGAGTGTCCAGTGTGTTCAAAACAATTATCTGAGCTAGCCACTACATTACCGTACTCCCACTGCGCGCAGTCTAGGTTGGTTTGTCCTATCTCTGGTGAAGTTATGAATGAAAATAATCCTCCAATGGTTTTACCTAATGGATATGTATACGGAGAAAATGTAAGTACTGTGCTGCAAATCCTCTATCATACTTGTATACTATATGTACCTTTTTGTTAGGAGGCCAAAAGTAATTTGCAGTTAGCCTTCTGCAAGTGCAGTAAACCTCAGTGGCTGTTTTCATGCATGATCCCGCTTTGCTGGGAGGAGATGAGAGGCGGTATGATTTGAATGTACTGTATTGAATTAGCCTTTTTTCACGCCGCCATTTTTAGGTGGCTTTTCAGCCGAAGTCTGCGAGATAAGTCCACATAACAGCGACTTTTTATAATTTTTTGGACGAATGATGGTAAATTTGCTTTGTCATCTTGGGAGTGGGGACATTTGAGGGGCAAACTCATATTGGGGGGGGGGATAAAATTTTAAAATTACTGCTATTTACCCATGCATTGTCACAAGACTTTTGTCCCCAGAGATTCGCCCCCTCTCAAAGGGGCGATATTACTAGAATACCGCCCCGAGGACAGATATCTAGATATCGCTCCCCAGAGGGGCGAATGCCCCAGAAATATCGCCCCCCCCCCTCCTTTAGGATATTCGCCCCCCATATATGCGATGTGGTTTATTAAAATAATTTCGTGATACTTTCATCTTATTGGTGCCTTAAGGCCCATACAGACCGGACGCTATTTGAGGGTGGGAAAGGGTATTTTCGTGAGCCGTGAATGGTGAATATTTGTTCCTGCGAAATGTGAAATGCTTGATTTTAGTGTCGTGAAATGTGATTTGTTCTACAGCCGTGAGGCGTGATTGTTGATAAAAATGCTCCGTGAAATGAGAATTAAGGATGCCTGTTTCGTGAACTGTGATTATTATAGTGATTATTATAATAAACATGATACGCGATAATCAAATTTATATGATCTCACTCGATTGCACAAGAGTAAAAACTTCAGAGGCCTTTCGCGAGGTTCCTGGCGGTGAGGACAAGGTTCCTGGCGGTGAGGACAAGGTTCCTGGCGGTGAGGACAAGGTTCCTGGCGGTGAGGACAAGGTTCCTGGCGGTGAGGACAAGGTTCCTGGTGGTGAGGACAAGGTTCCTGGCGGTGAGGACAAGGTTCCTGGCGCTGAGGACAAGGTTCCTGGCGCTGAAGACAAGGTTCCTGGCGCTGAGGACAAGGTTCCTGGCGCTGAGGACAAGGTTCCTGGCGCTGAGGACAAGGTTCCTGGCGCTGAGGACAAGGTTCCTGGCGCTAAGGACAAGGTTCCTGGCTTTATTTGTTTTTGAAAACTGAAAATTCGCGTCGCGTTCGTTGCCGAGTCGCGTCCGGTCTGTGTGGGCCTTTACGGGTTTGAGAATTTAACTTTGCAGAACTAAAGCTTTTATGTCTTTTTTGAAACGTATTATTGGAGTATTGGGAAGTTTTAGCATTCAGAGATTTACAAACTAATATTGAAACTGTAAAATACAGTTTCAATATTGAAACTGTAAAAGACAGTTTCATGTATACGCGCATTCACTAATGAGTAATGACAACTTATAAGCTATACATTTTCCGATAACGACAAACGCTTGTGTAGCCTTTAGTCGCTCTCAGTGACTAATAAATTTTGGAAAATACCCCCCCCCCCCCCCTTGCCCTCCCTGGCGCCGCCACTGTGAGAAAGGCTAATTATCCACCAAGCCCAGCATTCCAGTTCAAAAAAACATCTTTTGAATGCATGTACTGTAGAAGATTGTATTTTTTGAAATTGTTTTTTTCCTGTAGTCACTTCAAAGGATGGCTCAAAACAACAATGGTGTCGTAACTTGTGTGAAAACCAAAGAACAATTTAAAGTGGATGAAGCAGAAAAAGTGTTTGTCATGTAGAGAGATAAGTGCACGGTACTTTATTAAAATGAGACGTTTTATACATCAAGATTCATACTGTATGTCTCTAAGAGTATCATGTACTAAAGTTTCTTCTACTCAACTGTAAATAAATGAATTGTATTTAATGAAGTTCTAATTTTGGATTATATATTTGATTTTTATGATATTATATGGTATCATGTATAAAGCCTGTGAGACTAGTCTCTTCCCCAGCCGCTATAGTTGTGTACTGAACGCGCTGTTCGTATGGATCTCGGCTGGTTAATCGGGTTGATTCGTGTAAGAAAGCTCTTATCACGGCTTTGACAAACCATCCAAAATGACATTTCTAACTTGAATTATTGTAGCTTAATTTCTTTCCAATAACAGCGTAAAATTCATTCAAGATTTTTTTCATTTTTTTTGCATCTCAAATTCAAGATTTTTTTAAAGTTCATTCAAACGATCTTTTAGGAAACAATTTTCGTGACATGATTCATCTCGGCTGAAAAATTGAAGGCACAGTTCAGCCTTTTGAATGATGGTTTTTAAGGCGCATTACAATCCTTTTAATTAAAAAAAATAGTGAACTAGGAAAATCAATTAAGCATAATTCAGGAGAACTCCGTGAACTCGATGTTTTTAACATTAAAAATGCTAAAAAATGTTAAAAACATTGAAATCACTGATCTTGAATTATGCTTAATTGATTTTTCTAGTTAAAGTTTTTTCATTTAAGGAGGCTCCCTACAGTTGCGTGCGGGATGTTTGCGGGACCAGTACGTGAACTATCCCACGCAACCGCTTGATCAAAACAAAACAAAAATTGACCACGCTTTTTTTAAAAAAAAGCTATTTCTGAAAGGTTTCTAATGGAAAAAGCGTTGAATAATACTTCGTTTTGAGTGCCAAATTACTTGCGAGTCTATACAGCAATTCTACATATGATACGAATACCACTAAACAATGTTGTTACTGTTTTGTTTTTAGTTGACAAAAACAAAACAGTAAAAACAACATTGCCGCTCGATTTTGCTGAATGAAAACTCGTTCTGCGCCCGCGTACAATCTTTTACTAGTCAGCGACGCTTTTCAATAAGTGGAATTTCTCGAGTTACACGAGGCTATTTTCTAACTTTATTTGCATTTTACTCATTAGTTTCATCGGTGACCTATCTTCAAATTTTGACCACAAATTTATTTTGCGGTAAATTTTATAAATTTCAATTTTTAAAAAAATCTGTAGTGTGGAAATTTCGCAATAAAATTTTCGCTTTTAAAAAAATCACACACTACAGAATTTTTTTAAACTTTCACCACAGTTGCAAAGCATCATTCCCTATTGATATATGAAATAAAAAAGATAGGTCACCGACATCGTTTTTGAGATAGCGGCACATTTATGGGTTAAATTGGAAGGCTTTATGCTGTCGTCATGTTGCCATGGGAACACTGACGTTGTCGAAATCTAGTTCGAAATATTCCTTAGGTGACCAATATTGCCACCAAGTCGAAAAGAATTCGCGTTCTGCACGAATAAGCCTGTTTTTCGGAATTATTGCTTAAACAAGAATAACTGTAGGGAGCCACCTTAAAGGGTTGTAATGCGCCTTAAAAACCATCATTCGAAAGGCTGAACTGTGCCTTTAACCGGTTATTGCAGATTTTTCAGTTGCGTATACTTACTTTGGTATCATTCTGTAGTAATGTTACACCTACATACTGCATTCATGTCAATATTTTTGAACGATAATTTGCATCATTTCTCTTGAGTATAAACAAAGCCGACACGTGTCAGACACAATGAGATACACGCGAGACGCGATCACCACGTGCTGGTGTTTGCATTTAGAACGCAAGCAACCGGAACGATCTCTAAAGGATTTAAAAAAAACATGTGTACTTCTTTACAAAGACCAAATAATGATATGCAGTTGTGTAGAAGCTTTCTTCACTCTCAAACTTAACAATTATCTTGCTAAGTACAGAGAAGTGGTTTTTTATGGTGTTTTGTACCTAGTGGATTAAAGTTTCTCAAACTTTACAAGTACAATTGTTTTGTCTTCATCAGAAAATTGCAGGTAAAAACTTTGCTTGTTGATATTTTTATTAACATCGTTAGTCAAAATATAGCAACTGTACAAACTTGACGTGATTTCTTTGATTTTTTGGGAAATTAGCATCGGCTATATATAGCACAGTACTAAAAGGCCGTGTTCACGTGAACCTGTGACAACTTTTTGGGAAATCGGCATTGGCTATATATACACACGTAAAAATCTCACAACTTGTCAACAAGATATGTTCGCAACAGGCTTGTA